AGAGGAACAATGAAATGAATAAATGGAAGGAATGAATGTTGGTAGCAAGCACCTGCCTTTCACTCCCCAGCCTTTTTATCTCCTCGAGGGAGTCTCCGTGCCTGGGGGAGGAGGACTCCATCACTCGGGGGCAGGAACAAAACTGACTGGGAGAACTGGATCTGAAACATTTAAAATGTCAACCTGGAGGCTCTCAGAATCTGAGGGTTTTCTCCCATTTCCATCAAAATCCAGCCCTACCCAATTCAACATTTCTTTGAAAGAAAGAGAAAGAGAAAGAAAAAAAGAAAACAAAGACAAAACACTTTAATGCCAGACTGTTAAGTGCGGTCTTCTCTAAGCCTGTGTTGTCTGACGCAAAAGCCAAGAGCCACACGGGCCAGTGCGCTCCTGAAACGGGGCTAGTTCGGACTGAGATGTGCTGCGAAACACACCCTAGATCTTGAAGACTTAGTATGAAAACGGAATGTAAACAATGATTGGCCATCTTGATTACAAGTGGATGATAACAAGTGGACTTTGATATCTTGAGTTAAAGAAAGTATAAAATACATTAAATTTAACTTCACTGGTTTATTTTCTGTATTCAGTATGACTCCTAGATAATTTAAAATGGTTTTTGTGGGCACATAGAAGTTAATTTGTAAGGCTGAATCAGGTGGCTACCTCCTTTCTGTTCAGATCTGCTTTTTTTCAGTCTTTCCCTTATTACCTCATCAACTAGATACCCTTGAACCCTGGTATTTTCTCCACTGTCTTTGGTGTAATCTCTGGGGCCCGGACTTCGGTGTGGCAGCAGGGTCTGTCCCCTATGTCCTGATTTCGGGTCCTGTTTGCCCAGTTACTCACCGCAGCTTTCAGTTTCTGTCTCTGGCCTTCGTGTGCAGCGTGACCATAACACTACCCAGTTCCCTTTGGTCTATGGTTTGGTTGTTTTTGGATTTCTCTGTGTTCACTGCATATGGGAGTTTGGCAGAGAGAGAGGAGGTTTGTTCTTTACGCAGATATTTTGAAGTCACCAATGGGAAAATACTGACAGATGAGAAATATATCACGAAATGCTTCCAGATGATAATTACAGTAAACAACTTGTTAATATGTGCCAACTATCTTCTCCTCCATTCCCTTGAATTAAGGGAAGACTGATTTTCCCATGAAGCTACTCTTTGGGGAGAGGGTTGGATGAATCGATTGGCCACACAAATGTCCTGAATCTTCAGCTAGAACTTTCTTGGCCATGTCCAACTGACTGTCTCACTATAGAAAGGTCAGCTCAGTCCTCTGGCCAGAGTGTTCTTCTATGTAAAGTGATGCTTTCTGAATTCTGCCAACTTTAAAAGTCCACATGCTCACATATGTGAGTGGGGAAGGAGGGTAATTCTAAACAAACACAGATCTTTAGCACAAGCATCTCTTCCAGTTCTTTCTTTCTTCTCTCGGTACCTGCAGAAGCACTCTTCCTCCTCCCTCGCTGTGCCAGCTTCTCTGCTTGTCTGTGGGATAGAAATGTATCTGGGAGAGGGGACCCCAAACAGACTGGGATTACCTTCTTGCGGGCGGGCCCCTGGTAGACCAGGCTTCTCCTGCTTGGGTGAGTGTTCTAGGAACCCATCAGTATCACTGTACCAGCTGGTGGTGTTGTGAGAGGCTGTGCTAAACTTCAGTTAAATTTTTTTTGAAGACTCTCTCAGCTCATTCGCCAATTTCACGATAGGTGATTTACAAGCACACCTGCCCGCACTGTGCTGAGTGTTCATCAGTTTTTTGACCAAAAATGGCCACGACCCCTGTGCCCCACCTTCCCTATTCACCTGATCTCTCCCCAAGCAACTTTTTGTTTGTTTGTTTCCCGGGATGAAAATAGTCCTCAAAGGAAAATGTTTTTCCAATGTAGAAGAGGTGAAACAAAAAATGGCAGAAGCACTAAAAGGCATCAATATCGACAAGCTGAAAAGCTGTTCTGAGCAGTGGAAAAAAGCCTCAATAGGTGCATTGCATTGGATGGAGAGTCCTTGGAAGGTGACTGAAGTTTAAACATGTAAGAATAAATACACAATGCTTTATAAATAAATTCTGGATTTTTGGGGGTTCCCCTTTGTCTACCTAGATCTCCTGAATTTCAGGGGGGAAAATACCCCTGACTGGACTCAGTTACTGTCTGTGGTTAGTGTCTTACTCGTCTCTTCCATTTCATGGTCGGTGTGCTCGGGTCACGTGTGGTTTAGTTCCTCACCGTTCTTTCTCTGTTCTTTCTCTTTTCTTCTCTGTCACGTGTCTGCTCCCACACTAGAGTGACCCTCAAGGCACTACTTGAGTAGTGACGAGCCCCTTGGCAATCCAGTGGTCCCCATTCTGTCCCCACGCTTACTGACTTCACCACCGGGACATTCGACACTCGTCGCTGCTTCTGATGCTTTTCTCCTCCTGGAGCTCCCATCCCGCCAGAAGTTCCCGATACAGGCAGATCAGTATTCTCGTGAATTTACTGGCCCTGAGGAATCCCTGGCAACCTTGCTTCCTTCTCCTATTCACTATCCCTTCTTTCAAAGGTAGGTCACAACTTTTCCTCTCTCCTCAGGCCTCCATGAGCCAGCACGTCTCTCCCCTCCCCCACTGGTGACATTCTGCCCTTCCCTTCCCCCACAGTGACATTCTTTCTCGCTCGCCTGTGGTTACTTCAGAGCCAGCACCTGCAGCCACACCACGTCCAACTCCTCCCCTCCAGCTCACAAGCGGAAGTGGCTTCCTAGCCAAAGCCAGGCCCTCCACCTTTGCCCTAAAACCCACCCTCCTGCCATCTGGGCACCTTTAGGGGAAAGACAGGCCCTTGGTGTTGTGTCTTCAGTCTCTCCCATTCCACTGCATCTTCCCCGTCAGCGTTTAGGATGTTTTCCACCTTAAGAAAAAGTTTTGTTTTCCTTGCCCTCACTTCCTCTCTCATTATTGTCTTTTTCTCTTCTTCCATCTCAGCTAAAGTTTTGAAATGAAGCCCATGTTCTATGCTTCCTCCTCTTGCTTTCCAAGCAGGCTCTGCAGAGCAATGCCATGAATTCTCAGTGTTTTCTGGGAATGTCGGATTCTCCTAAAGATGAGTGTGGCAATAGCACTGTCTCTGTAAAATACTTACAGGGTGCAAGTGGCTTTCTAGAAAGTTAGCCAGGCTCAGAGCCTGGGCTCTTGACCACCAGGACCTCCTGCCCCCTCCTTGCTTCAGACCGAATAGGTTTGTTCTCAGCACTCAGCACAGCGCCTTCCATCAGTTCAAGATCAATAAACAGGCCTGAATGAATGAACATATATTGCCACCAAGGTTCAGGTTCTGATTCTCTCACTCTTAGGATAACTCACCAATTAACAGGTTCTTAAAAAGTGCATAGGTTTTGGTTTATGCCTATCTTTCTGAAAAAAGGTGTCATTTTCAGAGGAGTCTGTATCCAAAAAACAGCAAGTTCTTGATTCATTCATTTTTCTGTCTTCAGTTTCATTTTCACCAACCTCCTCCCCCTACATCCTGTACATTGCCATTAGATGCCTAGGTTGTGAATGTTTTGTTGTAATTCTGTACCTCATAAAAATGCAGAGGCAAATGACTTCCCTCTACCTAAAATTCCTGTCTGCCTTCCTGGCTGCCTGCACCCAAGATAAAAATCTACCCCTTTCCTCCAACGCTTTTAGCCAACACTTTTAGTAATCAAGCCCCAGCATATTTTACCAGTACCATCACCCATTTCTCTCCTCCATTCCAGTCACGTTGGTCTTATAATTTCAAAACCGCTGTTGCAGTTCACCTCTCAGTAGTTCACTCAGTAATGTATATATTACATTCCTGCTCTGGGCCAGGCACTACGCCTGGACCTGAGAAGACAAAGATAAATACAGCACAGCTCTTACCCTTGAGAAACTATCAGTTCCATCTGGGAGAGAGATGGGAAAACAAAAATCCCCCCCAGAAATGGGATGGCAAACTGTTCGTGGAAGTTACTACTGCTCAGAGATAGGATGGCGCTGGGAGTCAAGGAGGCTTCCTCTTTCTTTCTTTTCTTTTTTAAAAAAGATTTTATTTATTTATTTTTAGAGAGAGGGGAAGGGAGGGAGAGAAACATCGATACGCAAGAGAAACATGGACTGGTTGCCTCTTGCCCCCAACCTGGCACCTGGCCTGCAACCAAAGCATGTGCCCTGACCAGGAATCAGGCTGGTGACCTTTTGGTTTGTGGGACAACACTCAACCGCCTGAGCCACATGAGTCAGAGAGAGAGCATTGGAGAGTTTTAAGCAGGACAGTTTGCTGTCATGGTTCATTGCAGGCAGATTCTCGCAGTGGAGTGAAGGACTTATCGGAGGGCGCTGGAGTCAGGACAATCAATCAAGACTTTATGATCTTCGTCCAGGACAAAAATACTGAAGGCCTGATTTATGCAGGAGCTCTGGTGTGTGTGGGCATGTGTGGTCTAAATCCAGAGATTTTTAAGTGGAGCGGGCATAATTTGATTTCCCTATTCTCCAGGCTTTTCTTTATAGCGTTTATCACCCTGGACATAATCACTTACCTGTGGTCTGTTTCCCCCACCACCATGTGAACGCCAGGAGAAATGAGATGTTCATTGTGTTCCCTCAGACCCCAGGGTGCGTGACAGGTACAACACAATTATTTGTTCAAGGTCTGAAGTTTAGCTAGGAAGGAGAAATAGAGGGGAATGTCAAAATAGGAGAAGAATTTATAATGTGCTGGCCTAATGGAGCTCATCCATATCTCCCATAATCTCTTCCAGAGCTCAGGCTCTATCTCAGTGTTTTATCAAAATCATAGGTTCCCTCATCCGGCCCTCATCCCCATCTCAGCCTGAGCGAACACTCTTTCCTGACCTTTCGCCTACCCTGCTGCTCTCTAGCTATCTCCACTGTGCATCTCTGAAAACCCTGGTTTTCCAGGTTCCCTCAAGGCCTTTGGTCCCGTGCCTGGGCTGTTCTCACTTTGTTATAGGATCACATACCTGCTACACATTTCTGCCTGTGTTCCTCCAGATCCACTCTCCACCCTTCTCCAGGGTTGACCTTGAAGGGCAGCATCACCTGAGCTTGCTCGCCCTTCATCTTCTGCTTGGGTTCAGCCACAGGCGATCTGAGGGCAAGAGAGAGACGCAGGGCTGTATTCTGCTAAGTTGCTGTTGGCCCTCCCTCCCATTCCACTATTTCTCTCACTGAGCGCTGGTTTGTCTCTGCTCCTTCAGGCCTATGGCTGATACGGCTTTTCATCAGCTGTTACCCTGGGGCTGGTTGGTGCTTCATCCCCCTTCCGAGTGTCCCTCACCCCTGCCAGCAACTTTGTATTCTGTCCTGCACGCACTTTGACCCAGGTATCTATGGACTCTGATGCTGATCTGGGCTGATACGAAAGCAAAAAGGCAGATCGTATCTTTAAAAAAAAATTGAAATAGGAGCCTCAAAACTTACTTTTTTTTAAAGTGTAGGATTCAGTGGTTCTTAGTAAAGTTGAGCAAATTGTATCTTTTTTCATTTAATAGGTAATTAAATGTTTTCTAAGTTACCAGCTGAGTTCTCAATGTTAGATTATACAATGTTGCACCTCACTTACTTAATCATTCATGTATTTCAAGCTTTCCTTATCACAAATAAGGCTGTTGCAAATATTGTGCATGTGGCCATTCTCTTTTGGGGAGGATTGTTTCTCAAGGGGAAAGTTTCTAGGAGTGATGCTGATGAGTCAAAAGGGAGTCACATCTCTATCAAGGCTTCTCAGAAGTACGCTCACACTGCCTTTTAAAAGGATTGTATCAGTTCACTTGCTACAGCTTTCTCTGAATGTACCAACTGTATCATCTCATTAGCATTGGGAAATATGTGAGGTACATGTATTTTGCTTAGGTAGGAGGTGGTATTACCACTTCAACTTCTTTGATAACCATCCTAATCCTAAACCACTGAAAACCATTTTTAGCTAAATGGGAATGGAGAGGCAGTGACTTTGAGGGGGATGGGGTGGAGAGAAGGTAAAGGGATTTGCTCCTTAATCTTCCTCCTTCTCCACTCAGCCTCTTCGCCCTGTTCTCGTATCAGTTTCTTCCTCTTCAACCAGCTACGCATCTTCAGGCCCTAGCACAGGGCCGCACACAGAGTGGGTCACACTGGTTTACGAGCATTAACGGTTCTCCTTTAACGGACTCTCTGGAATCCGCACTCTCCATGCCCTGCCCACAAGCACACCGACTACCGACTACCGCCCATGGCCTGCTGAATGCCCTGGCTGGGTGGCTCGTCTCTGGAACACCCGCACGTTTCCGCCCACAAGTTAGGTTAGATGCCTAATCAGAGTCTGTTGCGTTTGGTCCCGCACTTGCTTATGACAACTGTTTGCCAGAATATAATTAATTGAATTAAAACTTACAAAAACTGTTGAAATGTAAGTGTGAAAAGAAACAGTTGTTTCTGTGAAATGTCAGTTGAATGCTTTGGAATTATTAGCTAAAGACAAGTCGAAAAGGACTATCAAACCAGATGTGGGTGAGAGGATTAGAAAGATTTTTTCTTTACGGAGTCTCTTACTTAGACTTCCTTGCAAGAAGCTTTAAGTTCTCAGTTAACTTTAAAGAAACAACTTGGGAAGCATAGACAATACATCATGGGTATAATTTAAATAAGAAAAAAAGCTCAAGAATTCTAACCAGCACTCTTGCTCAAAGAAAAGGTTTGGCAGGACATAGAAAAATTGGCAAGTGGGTTTTCCTAATAGGTTTAATTGAAAATAAAATGTTAAGATGTGTATATACAATTTTTAAATAATTCATTGCTTTAATATACTTTTACAATTAACTAACCTACTTTTGGGCCAGATCCAGTTTGCTCGGGCAGGGGCAAATCCTTATTTCCTAACCCTTTTGTTTTCATAGGTGGACAGGTGGGGGAGAATTTGTCCTGGACCTTCCAGAAGGAGGGGACTTGCCTAATTGGTGAACTTAGATGTGCCTGCCCTCAGAACAGTGCAATCGTCTCTGCTGAGACCTGGTTAAAGCTGCTAGACCTCGGCACAGGGGAGGCTGAAGTTTTTGGGGAGCTAATTTTTAACTCAGGGAATATTAAAAAGCCTATTGGTCATCATCCAAGCGACGTTCTTCAGATTAGCCTCATGCGTAATAAAGTTGATATTTTTGCCTTTTCATTGGCTCCAAACTTATATGAAAGGAATGGTACTCACTGTTCCCATAACACTCCAATGATGGCAGGTACTGTCACAATCAAGGCACATGATTCTCACTTTTATTTTAGTTGGCGACTCCATTCAAACAAAAAGTTGTCTCTGGTTTGCAGGTGGTAGTCTAGTTTTGTTCAAAGTCCAATCTGTATCTCACGCTAGAAGCTAGACAAAGAAGAAAACATTATGGCTCCTGAGAATTCCTGATATCAGGAAGGGTTTCCTGAGAAGGGAAGAGGAACCCAAACATGACCCCTGCCAATCCATCTGTTCCCTCCCCCTCCACGTCCTGAGAGTCTTTCTTGTCCTGATTTTGGGAACAGATAAACATGGCCAACTTAAGATCACAGCCTACATGGCTACTTAAATGAGAAACTGCAAACGTAGCAGGGAGTATACTGCCTAATCTCTCCTTAGTGTGCTTACAGGCATTTTGTTACCTTGCAGTGGGCCATAAAATCAATGTAGTAAGTCCTGGCCAGTAGTTAAAAAGGAATAAAAATAATAAAGCTGAAACTATCAACATGCAATGGGTATGTACATGTCAAAACAAAAATGTACATTATAAGTACATGCGGTTTATTGTATTTCAACTACATATCTCAATAAAGCAGTAAAAACACCCTAAAAAAATCCTTCTTAAAATAAAGATGAACTTGAAGTAGGAAAAAAAAAAACAAAAAACAAAAACAAACACCTATCAGCATGCATTGAAAAGAAGGATAATATTTCAAGAAACTTTTTTCTCAGAGATGCATGTATTTGTCCATGCATGTGTGTCCATTCTGGGTTGAGAAAATTAATTTATTTCTTATGGAGGGCCACAGTCAAAAAAGCTTGCTGAGAATATTATTTTGCTATGAAGAAGGAAATCCAGCCATTTTCAACAACATGGAAGGTCCTGAGGGCACTATGGCAAGTGAAATAAGTCAGACAGAGAAAGACAAATACGCAGGATCACAGTTGTATATGGAATCTTAAAAAAGCCAAGCTCATAGAAAACTGTAAAAAAAAAAGTTTGCAAAGCACTGTTTCAAGGTGCACATTTCTTCTTCCTTTCCTTTTTGCTCTTTGTTAATTTGCTCTGAAACTGCTGCCTTGTGACTGAGACTTGTAATTAAAAACCAGAAGGGCCAATTCCTACTCTGTAAACAGCTGGAATGCAAAAGCTATTGTTCCTACCTTATTGCTCTGAGTTAATCAAATGTCCAGATACCCTGAAGATAGAAGGGCAGAGATTGAGACCCTTACGCAGTAAGTAGTGAGAGGAAAATTTACTGTAAAATTTGGCTACACAGCTCACGCAGCAGAGGTTCTCCCCAGCTGGCAAGGCACAAAGGGCTCAGGCTGGCACTCCGGGACCACAGCCCTAACTTACCTTTCCAGACTGACTCGCTCACTTACTCTTTTCCCTGTGCTCCATCCAAATTGACTTCTTGGTGTTCCCAGAACACTCCATCCGTTTCTCTTTCTGTGCCCTTGATTGCTCCATTCCTTCCGCCTCGGGCAGCCTCCTCAACTGGCCTGTCTCTGCTTGCCGCAGTCCCAGCCATCCTTCAAAGATCCATGTCCAATCTCCTTGCCGAGTTCCTAATATCTTTCCTTTAAACGCCAAACGTATCTTTTAAAGAAATACTTCCTTGCCCTGGCCAGACTGCTCAGTTGGTTAAAGCGTCGTTCCAATGCACCGTGGTTGCCGGTTTGATCCTGGTCAAGGCACAGGCGGGAGACAACCAGTGAATGCATAAATAAGTGGAACAGTAAGTCGATGTTTCTCTCTCAAGTCAATAAATAATAATCAAAAAAGAAATATCTTTCTTAAAGATACTTTTACAATACATTTTAAAACACCATTTTCCCTGGCTTTAAGAAAGCATTAATGTACTATAAAAATAAGAAAATACAGAAGTCACAGAAGAAGAAAAAAATCCCACTCTTTTAGGATATGGGGATGTATATTTGCATATTACCAACGGGTATTATAGTGCCTTAATCTGTTTCTTCAGTATGACTTTCAACATCCAATATCCATGGGTACGAATAAACTGTAATTTATTTAATAATCATAGCATTGGGCATTTTGCTTGTTTTCACATACGGTGCCGTATTTGGGGGAGGATATATAGGGTAGTAGCAAGAGCACAGTGACAGATTTCCTAAAAGAGCACCATCGAGTGTGTTTTTGGAAATAGAAAGCTGAGGTCAGTGATCAGTAGGAGGAGCGTAAGTTCCCCCAGGAATCTTTGGAGATATTTTAGTGGAATTGGGGTTTGAACTAATTGCACTTGTTTAAAGGGACAGTAACCCTAGCAAGTCTATGGATGGGGGGAGGGGGTGTCACCCAGCAGCCAATCCGTGGAAACAAGCAGGGCTCAGTAAGCAGGCCTCCCACCTCAAGACCTGTGTATCTTTGTGCATCCTTTAAATCTCCTAGGAGGAGGTGTGCCTTTTCCCACCCCTATATCTGGCACCATTACTGACCCCTTCTCTTATCTCTTATTCTCCCCTCAGCTCCTTAGCTGGAGAGCTCCTCTTCAAAGTGAAGCAAAACACTTGTCTCTTTTCCTGTCACTACCCCTAGAGGTACAAGCCTGCTTTTTTTTTTCTCCCCTGCTCCCAAACTTCTGTCAAGAATCGCCACAGTTACTGCCTTCAAGGCTTCAGCTGCGCGTACTCCTTACCCAAGCGCTCAGCCCAGCTCAGGGACGGAAACTCAGCAGCAGCCTCCTGCAAACGGGCTTCTCTTCCCCGCTTAGCGGTGGGTGCGCATTGCCCTGCTCCAGGGCCTCGCCCCGCGCTCCCGCACCCTGACCCGGCTGCCGCCTCGGTGCCGCGCGTTCCCCGGTGCGCCGGCTTCTCGGAACGCCCTGCCCGTCACCCCGCTGGCCTTGGGTCGTCGGTCGCCTCGCGCAGTCATCGTTTCCCAGAACTCACACCTCCAGGTGCGCGCCCGGGAGGCCCCCTGTGCCAGTCCGTTCGCGGCCCGTCCCGCGGTGACCGCGGCGGCAGTCCGGCAGGGTCCCTGCTTCCTGTCACCGCCGCCGGCCTCTGGCCCACCACGTCCGCGCTCCAGGGGCGCGCGCTGGGGCGAGACCGCCGCGCAGGCAGCTCCCGGCCCCCTAGCGGGCGACCTCGGCCCCACCCCAGGCCCCTGAGGCCTGCCCGGCAGGCGCGTCAGAGGACGGGCGGCCCAGGTCGCGGGGCGCCGGGCCGTGCGGGGTGCTCGCAGGTCTGGCGGGGCGGGGCCCTAGACCGGGGTCCCGGGTCCTGAGTCCCGGGGTCCAGCCCCGCTCGCCGCCGTGGGGCCCGAGCCGAGCAGCCCGACTCGGGCGGGAGGCGGGAGGCGGAGGCCGGGCCGGGCCAGGGCAGCCCCTCCGCCGCACCGCCCTGGGCCGGTGCCCAGGTCCGAGTCGCCTTCCGCCCGCCGCCCCGCCCGCGGCCCCAGCCGGGTCCCGCCGCCAGGCCGGCTCCCGCCCCCGCTCCGCCCCCGGAGCCGCAGCCCCGCCCGCCACCGCCGTCGCCATGTTGTGGCTCCCGCAGCCGGCGCCGGGGACGCGCGCGGCCGAGCCCGGGGCCTGCCGCCGCCGCCGCCGCTAGGTAAGCGCCCCCCGCGGGCCGGGCCGGGCGGGGTCGGGGCCGGGGCCGCCGCCGAGGCCGCCCAAGCGCGGGCCGGGGCTGAGCGGGGCCGGGGCGAGCGCGCGCCCGCGCCGCGGCCCGGCCCTGCAGCCAAGCGGACCCTACCCGCCACCCCAGGCGGAGCCGCTTCCCCGACCGCCGCCTGGCGGGCCCGACCGCCTCCCACCCCGCCCCCGCGACCCGCCGCCGCCCCGCCGCGCACGCTGCAGTCCGCCCCGCGCGGGACACAGGCCGTCTCGGCGACAGCCCGCGGCCCCCGCCCGGGCACCGATAACGGGGCACTTTCCCCGCTGGGACGCCCTGTCAGCCGGCCGTCCCCGCCGCCCGAGGAGCTGGCGCCGTCAGGAGGCAGACACTTCGCGGAGCGACCCTTTCGGGCGCCCCGCGGTCCCTCCCCCACCTCCGCCCAAGTTCTGACCCGGGGGAGGACTCCTCGCGAGCGGACAGGTACTCCTGCCCCAGAGCCAGGGGTCCTCACGGCATGACCGGGCCTGTTGGAAATTGTCTCTCTGCAGAGGCTCTTCCTGCCAACCTGGGGGTAAGGCTCAATGTGACCCGAGGGAGGACAGAGGAGCGTCTGCTGGGCAGATGGCCTCCTGGCCGTGGATCAGCGCGCGCGAGGGGGAGGGGTCCGTACGACCTTCGGTATGCCTGCCTCGGAGAGCGCCGGGCGGGTGGGAGCTGCCCAGGAATTTTTTACCTTTTTTTTTTTTTTTTTTTTTTGAGTAGGCCAGAGGTGGCATTAAAAGTCCTGGATTGGCATAAACCCACAGGCCCATCCAGGGAAGCCTGTGTGGCCCCCAGGACTTACCTACAACAGGAGGGGCAGCAGGAGAGCGGGACTTGGGGCAAGACGGCGCTTGGCCTGGGGTCGCCCCCTCGCCCTCGCTCCGCGCTCACGCGGGGCCGTGCTGAGCATCTGGTGGTGCGTGTGGTGTGGCTGAGCGTACAGGATGTGCACAGACAGATGCCTGCCCCGGGGTTGCTCGGCGGGACCTCAGGGGTCTGTTTCCTCCAACTCACAGGTCCCTTAGACAGTGAAGGAGAAGAGGAAGTATGGTGCGTGAACACATCTCCACCATTTTCCATTTTTTTTCCAGTTGGTCGTGGCTTTGATTCATTCAGTAAATTTTTACTGAGCACTTACTATGCTCCAGGCACTGGCCTCGGTGTTGGGAATACCGTGGAAAACCGGCTCATAGCCCAGGGGCAAGGCCCGGTAGTAAACAAATACTCTTAAAATTACATCGAACAAGTATTGATTAAGAAGCATGTTCCAGGCATTGTGGTAGATGCTGTGAAGAAAGCAAGCAAACATAACTATCCTTGTGGCACTTTCATTTTCGTAGGGGGAAAGACAATGCAATAAAATAAGTAATAAAAGACAGAGTCTGTTAAAAAAAAGTGCTTAGTGCTAAGGAGAAAAATAGGGAAGGAGGATATGAGATATCTGGTGGGGGTTGAATTTACATTCGAGTGCCGTGGGAAGGCCTCCTAAGAAGGTATCTTTTGCATAAAACTTGGAAGGAAGGGGTAAACTAATCATTTCAAATTGTGCGTGGAAAGAAAGAGAGTGGCAGGAGAGAGGAACGGGCCTCGGTTTGGGTTCGGGGCTCAGGGGAGGAAGTGATGTTTGGGCTGAGACCCAGAGGAGGGTGAAGAGTTAACCATGTGTAGAGCAGCTCTGAGCCTGGCAAGTGGGAGGAAGTGAAAGAGGCCTGTGTGGCTGGAGGGGGAAAGGGAGAGGGGAGATAAGTCTGTGGAGAGGTGCGTCAGATCCCAGGGGGCCTCAGGGACAGGCCTGAGTTTGCATTGTCTCCGCAGCGTTATTAGGAACCTTTGCACGGTTTTAAGTGCGTGACATTTACATTTTAAAAGGTCTCTGGCATCTGCCTGGGGAAGGTACTTGGAGATAAGCAGGTGAGGCCGGGCTTTCCACCGCGTGGAGTGGCCTAACTGCTGGCTCGCTGGGGAACGTCTCGAGCAGTCTGGGGGAGCTCCTTTTCCTCCGCGAGTGAGTCTGTTGCCCAGCTTTTGGGAAGGGAAGGGAAAGAGAATTAGTATTTACGGAGCGCATGCGAGGCGGGATGACCAGTTTTAGTGACTTTGGCCTACCTTATATTTAATGTATCCCTCTCTGTGCCCTAAGAGAAAGGGGTTGACCTACCCGTTGACAGGTACAAACCCAGAGCGGACAGAAAAGAAGCCCAGAGGGGACAGACAACCTATGGAAGGCCACCTTCGTAACACAATCTGTGTTCAAGCCCACGTCTGCCTGACTTCCAGAACCCGGCGGCTCTGGAGCTCTCTGGAGCTAGGCTCCTTGCGTTTGCATCTGGCTCCCTCAGCTTGCCACCTGAACGATCTGGAGTTATTTAACCTCTCTTGTGCCTCAGTTTCCTCTTTGGGAAAACTTCAAGTTTTCCCCGGCTTTCTGCTCAAGGCCCAAAGGACCTGTCTCATAGGTTTGTCCTGCAGATCATGTGAACATTGTAACACTTACCTCAAATATTAGTTACTGTTATTATTTAAAAATTTTAAACAGCCAGGCTGCCTCTCAGCATATTGCAGTCATTTTGGATAAGATCAAATATGTAGATAATGACATTTTTGAATTTCGTGAGACTCATGTTCCCTACTTTTTCCTCTGAATAACTTAATGCCATGTTCCATGTGATCAATCATTCAACATTGATCTCCCATTTCATTCTTGATACGGTGTTAGTACTTACGCTACAATGCACTTAAGAGGGCTCTAATGCACCTTTAGTTAGAGACCTGTGAGGAGAAGTAAACACTAAAGGTCTGGGGAAGTAGTGAAGGCTTCAGGGAGGAGGTGATTTTGAACTGGGCTTTGGAAGAAGCATAGGTATTTTATGGGCAAGATTGGGCAAAGGATATTCTAGGTACAGAGAATCATGTGTGAAAACATGGAGTCGTGAAAGGCTTGCTTTGTCTGGTGATGAGGCTGGGAAGCGGAGTTGGAGCTGTGAAAAGCAGGTCAAGAAGTCTGGTTATTCTGTAAACCGTGGTGAGGTACCAGGGGAGCCTTAGATGCGCCCAATACTTAAAGTGATGTGTTGCAGTTAAAGAGTAGAGACAGATGTCATTCAGGAGGGCGGCTTTATATTGGTGGGATCACTATGCTCCGGGGGCTAGTTCTCAGTTTTGTAGACCCAAAATTTAGTTTTTCTGTGGGGCCTTCAGAACTGATCAGGTCGTGGGAGAGGGACTTAGGAATCAGACTTGGAAGAGACTGATGCATAAACTCAGGGTGTTAACTGGCCATGAGAAATGAAACTGCAGGATGACAGATGTTTCTGTCCCCCGGCCATTGCCTCCCCGCCCCCACCCCACTTCAGGCCAGGCCTGGGACATGCTAACAAACTCCTGCTCCTCAATTCCTGTTTGTTTTTCTCAGGCTCCATGAAAAGTGAACCCTATCTGTTAACATAATTTTCCCCCCCTTAAGCTCTATATCCTGTTGTCGGCAGTGATTGTTAGTTGATGGAATGAATGATTCTGTATTGGTTGGGTGGGATCCTGGGTTTGTGAAACTTAAGGAAGAGGAGGCATAACTTTTTTCAGAAATAAACTATTTGAAAAAAGGGGTTCCCTTGAATTGGGTTCCTGGAGGAGGTTTCCAAATTCTTATTCTTTTATGTATGTATTTGTTTTTAATTTACTTTATTGGGATGACATTGGTTAATACCATTATGGACTGTAGGTTTCAGGTGTACACGTCGATAGTACATCATCTGTATATGGTGGTGTGTGTTTGCCCTCCTCTCCACCAGCGAGGTTTGCGGTTTCTAAGCGGCATGCGTGATTTTGCGGCTGGGGGCGTGGGTCGTGGACAGGCGCACTGGAAGTTGCTCTGGAAGGAGGTCTGTGAACTGAGGGAGGGCGTGGAGGCCTTTTGACTGTCCTTGAAGGAGAGGCTGATTGGGAATCTCCATCTTCCATACACATTAGAGACAGAAAAGAAAGCCGTAGTTCCTAGTCACCCTGGCGGTGCTGAGTGTTCCCGTGGCGGCGCGGTCTTCCTGAGGTTCGAGCCCTTACCTTCTCTCTGCTTCCACAACACCGGGAAGGGAGGTGGGCCCTCTAGAGTTTTGAAGCTGTGGGTTTCGACAGTGAAAGATGAAATCCAAATAGACCAACCTAGATTGTGGGTTAACTGCTTTCCTTTGAAGACTCTAACATTAACTACCCAAGAATATTCATGTCGATGTTTAGGAGTTGCAGGTAGGTATGCAAAGGAAATAAAAGTAGCTGAACCTGGGGCTCCTGTCGACATTTGCATATTTAGTGTTTGTATTAGACCTCTATCTTGCGCTCTATCTTTATATGTAGGTTTGTTTTTAACTTTTTCTGACAGAATAGGCACACCCTGCATAGGAGAGAGTTCTGTGAGGGGAACAGTTGCGTGCACCCCAAATCTTTGGGTTTCCGTTTGTGGGCGTCTGGGCCAGCGTTCTCCCTTTCATGTTCCAAGAGTGCAGGGCATGATACCCATTAGCTAATTACTTTTGAGAAGTGTTTTCAGGGGATCAGAACCACTCACTTTTATTTGACAGTGGGAAGTGTGCATGTGTGTGTTGAAATGACGTAGCCGATCCTTGTATGACTCAGAGAAAAGTTAATGAACACCTTTCAAGTTTGGTATCACCACACAGCCGTTTCTGAAACCTGTTGGCACTATGGGCTGTCCTCGTGCCCTGTGTGACTTGCGGTAAATCCCTTCCCTTCTCCGTTTCAGGTTCTGAAGGAGTTGTGTCAAGAGATAATGGTGGCCCCCTGCCTCTCATGAACGCACTCCAGGGGTTGAAGAGGATGATGAAGTCCTCGTACGTGGCAGACGAACTCCTGGCCTCCCATGTGAGGCCAGGTCACAATTATCGGAGCCCCCTGCAAATTTCCTGAGTAGTTCAGAGGTGGCATGGAGGGTCTTTTGCAAAAATAAGGCCACAGACCTACACCCCAGGTTTAATCCAGAATAGCTTACCACTTCTCTGAAGAACAGAGTTCACTGTAAGATTTCTTACCTCTGAGTAGTAGTGGCATTGGGGTGGTTTTTAGTTTTTTAGTGACTTTTTTCCCAGTCATATGAATTTTCTATAGGCTCATAGATCATCTTTATGAAAACAAACCAATAACCGATAAATCTGTTTTCATTTTAGAGTCAAACATTGAAAGTCCTAAAGGCCAGAGCCGCGTCCCTCTAGAAGACGCGCTGTTGCAGCTGGCCACCCCCCTCGGTCACGTGTCCGCGAAGACGCCTTGGTTAGACGTGCAGCAGACACAGCTCTTGCAGACAGGAGGGCTAGGCTAGGACCTTGGAGCGCGGGGGGCCCTGCGTTCAGAAAGCAGGGCTGCGCCCACCTGGCAGTTACTGACGAGTGGAGTCGGACTTGGCTTCATTTTCTTCCTCCTCTTCTTCTTTTTTTTATTCAGCAGTTGAACAGTTAAATTCATCATCTGAATGACGGCTTCTAGCTTCATCTGTTGGGTGTTTTCCGTAGGCGTACTTTTAAAGAAAGCACTCCTTTTGGGCGCGGTCATGGGCTTTCTCCCTTGGGCCACGGGGCCCAGTCTGCACTTCGACATGGAAGATGCTAGAGGCCTTGGTCACAACCTGGGGGCCACTGGACTCTGAAGAGATGCGGTTCTTGTGTGTAAGCCTCACGGGCATTCCTGGGATTGCTCCCATTCGGGGGCTCAATCTTCCCTAGAGGTGAGGCGGGCGGCCATTCCTTCCTTGTGTCCAGCCAGTCGGAGGGCGTGGGAACATTTTACCCACGTTGCCCTTGGCAAGCCGGAGCTGACCGCGGACCGGCGGAAGGGCCCCGGCTGCCCGTTCACCGCCCTGGTTTGCCGCTGTTGACAGCATCCTACTTCTTTCTGCCCATTCAGCTCCTGAGGTTGCAGCTGTTCCTTCAGCAGGCCAGAGCAGGGTGGGCCCAAAGTGGGGCGCAGGGGGCTTGAAGGTAGGCGGTCATTGCACCGCGAGCCTGTCCGCGTGGGTCCAGGGCCTGCGAACTCACCTGACTGAGGCGGCGCTTTGGCATTTCCAGGGGAGAAGGGAGCCCGGTGTGGGCAGCAAGCAGCTGCTCGGAGCCTCCTGGGGTTTGGCCCCGCCAGGGCTCTGGTCCGTGTGGGGAGGGACTACTCTGCCTTTGCCAGGTTAGACAGAGTCCCCAGGCCTGCCCCGCGCTGGCCGCGGCTGTCGAAGCTGTCGCACTGTCTGACACGTCAAGGCAATACGTCTTCAGACTGTACTCACGGGTATTTGATGGGTGGTTAATACCACCGTTATTTTTAATGAGAACGTTTACTTGCATTTAAGATTCCGTGGAGCCTTTTTGCAGCTGGGTCATCGGTGGTCAATAATCCACGGTTGCTTGTGAAACTTTTATGTTCCACTGTCACCCTGGGCCCTTGGCCCCTGCAGGTGAGGGTGGAACATGGAAGAATCATGTGAGATGAACTTTGCTCTCCAGGGGTCCCCCACAGAAAGCGACCAGAGCACATTTTGCCTCCAGACCAGAAGTATATTCTGGGGGCTTTTCTTTCTGGGGGTGGCAGTTACTTTCACACAAGACGCCCTTGAGGTGGCCCGGGGTCCCCTCGGGGGAACATTCTGTGGTGCCCAGAGTGGCTCGAGTGGCCATTTGGGCGGAGGGTGCTGGTGACAGTGATGCCATCTCATCTCCCCTTGTCTCCCTCTGACGCCACCCCTCTGAGCACCTGTGCCCTCAGGAGATGGTAGTCACCTGTCCCCAAAACAGGAACCCCTGGGCCGATTACGCTGCCATTGCAGCTCCATCTCCCCGCGCCTAAGGCTTTTGCGATTTCACTTAAGAGTCCCCTTTTAAAATATTTGCACCCCTTGGGAGAGGTCAGACTCTTAGCAGTTCATCACCAAACAGTCGCTTTAATTACCAGGAATTAATTAAGTCAACAGAGAGAAAGACTGGGACCCAGGCAGGCACTTGGGGGCAAGACTGTCCGAAGGGACACAGTCCTGCCGGGCAGACGGGAAGTGAGGGCGGCAAGAGAAACTCCCGGCGCGTCAGTTGTTGCCGGCAGGCGCTGCTGGGCCCCCTTGTTGCCGGCTCTGGGGCCATCCTGGTGCCCTGCTTGGGGGGCAGAGGGTGCAGCACTGGCAAGTGGGGCTTGGAGGCGGGGTGGGGGGCTTCGAGGGGAGTCTTGAAGGGTTGGGGAGGCTGTTTCTATATGTTCAGAGTAGAAATTTTTGGAGCATTGGAGAAGAGAACAAATCCCTCCTCATTTTATACCTAAAGAGAGACAGCCAGCCAGAGGGGAGGGCCTAGGCCTGGGTGGCGGAGGTTCTCCGAAGCCTGTCCGTGGGGCTGGGGCTCGTGTGACAGCTGCGGGCAGCTCCTTTAGGCTTGTGAGCAGAGTGAGCGACGAGACCACAGTGGCGTTTGGAGGAGGGTGATCTTAGGATGGCAGCGGGGAGACTGGAGGTGGCGAGGAAAGAGGTAACAAGCACAGGGACGGAGCTGTGGAGCGGGACCGATGGCATCAGCGAGATGTGGGTGAGGCGGGAGGCGCCCCAGTGGCTGGCGGCTGCCCGGGTGAAGGTCTTCAGGGCCCTCAGTCTGGGGGAGCTTAAAGCCCTGGCCATGGCTGTGGATGGGGGGCAAGGCCGAGGGAGGGAGGGCGGGGCCCCCGCACTGGGCCCGCCTCGGGCTGCAGCCCAGGCTAGCAGCCTGCCGGTCGTTCCTGGGGTGTCCGAAAGTAGCTGTGAGCATCCTCCAAGCTTCCTTCTGAACCCACGCACGTCCTGGGTGGTGTCTGAAATCCATGGGTTCGATCGCCTTTCAACCTCATTTTCTGACACCCAAGTTTTATCTGTTTCTCAGAACAAATTGTCTTTGACTCACAAACCGACTTGGATTGGTTTAACTGACTGGAAATACTTATTTCTAAGTGGTTTCTGTTTCACTAGGCTTCTAGCCTGTTTTCAAAAAGGCATTTGCCAAGACAAGATTAGCGGAGAAGTGATTTTGGCATAATCGGCTTCTTATGATCTTTTGGTACAAGGTATGTTTCGAGATCGGTGTTTCTGATGTGTACCTTTCTATTTTTTTTTTTAAATCCTCACCAGAGGACATATTCATTAATCTTTAGAGAGAGAGAGAAGGAGGAGAGAGAGAGGAGAGAAACAGTCTGTTGCCTGCTATACACGCCCTGACCGGGGATCAAACCTGGAACCTTTTGGTGTGGACAGCGCTCCAACCAAATGAGCCACCCAGCCAGGGCTAACATTCATTTCTAGAATAAATATCTGAGTGCCCTCTATGTGCTGGGCGCTATTCAAGGAACTGGGAATATAACAGGGAACAATATAAAGAAAAATCTTACCTTCATGGAGCTCCTATTCTAGTGTGTATGGGCTTATCAACAATGAGTAGAACATAAAGTCTGACAGATGGTGAAAAGTGTTTTGGAGAAAAACAAAGCAGAGAGGCTCACTGATGTAAAGACATTTGAGCAGAGATCTGAGGGAGGAGCCATCACCGTGGAGAGAAAAGCCCGAGTGAAAGTCCTTGATGCCAGAGGATGCTTGAGAGTTTATTGAACAGCAAGGAAGGCAGTGTGGGCGGCCGGGAGCGAGGAAGGGGAAGGTTGGGCGAGGAGGCTGGGAGATCCCACCGGGCTTGTAATTCCTGGCGGCGGGGCCCTGAGCGTGAGTGAACTGGGAGCACACGCGTGCGGCTGCGCGGAGCACCGTGGACCTGCCGCGCTTGGGAGGGTTGCCGCGGCTGCTGGGGCGGGAGCAGCGGGGCGCAGCGCTCGGCTGAGCGTGGGCATCTGAGTCGGAATCGTCTGAGAGCCTTTCCTAGGCCACCTACATGGGCCCCCCCGGGACTCCAGGGTCCTCTGGAGCACACGCGTGACCTCGAGGACTCCTGCCGTGCCCTCGTTCTCTGACCGCCGGCTGGCTGCCACGGCTTCAGGTTCCTGGGGCCGCTTCATTCCCGAGTCTGCGTCGTTCAGCTTTTCGGGCGATTTTTGAGGCCAGTTGTTTTCAACCCGACAGCATCAGACACCTGGGTGATTTTTTAAAAAATGCCTGACCCCCACCCCCAAAGATTCTGACTTAATTGGCCTAAGGCGGGGTTGGGCGTCAGGGTTGCTCCCAGAGGGGCGTCCAGGGCTCGAATCATGGTCCGAGGGTTAAATGGGCCTTACGCCCGGCGTTTGAGGGAGAGATTGAGCGGGTGGCCGGGAGCAGGAGACCCTGGGGGAAGGCTGAGGCAGGCCCGTCCCCGGCCAGGGGCAGCCGCAGCCGTGCCGTCCCGCGTACTCTGCCCGGTCACGCGCTTTATCTCATCTGATGACCTCACCCCCCTGGGCCTCCATTTTCTCTCCACAGAGTCATTGACTTACACTTAAAAGCTTCCTAGGGTCGCTTTGGCTCTGACAGCTCTCGGTCTTTCTGGTATTGGAAGAACCGCTAATCTAGAACGATGTTCTGGAACCCTGTCTTCTCATGTTGATCTTCCGACGCCCTGAGCTGTGTCACAGTTACGGCAAAGGCCCTAGCGACTGTCTCCGTGCCCGGCCGCAGGAGACCGTGTGCCACCCGCAGGAGCAGCCTGGGAAGACAAGGGTGTCGGGGAAACCTGACACGCAAACTCTGACCTGCGGGTCCGGAGTCTTGAGTGGAAGGGCCGCTCGGTTCCGGGCGGCGTGCAGGGGCCTCAGCGCTGGTCCCGGCTCCGCGTCAGGCTGGCGGGTTTCCTGCGAAGGGGAGCAGTGTTTTGTTCGCTGTAAAGCTCCTAGACATCAGCTTGTGCGCGCGCGTGGGGCGGGGGCCCGGCAGAGCAGCCGGCCCGGGGCAGCGGAGCCCGGCGCGCAGGTGCGCCAGCTCCCCTCTGCCGCCAGACTGTTGCCCAGGCAGGAGACAGTTCCGACAACCAGCTGGAACCAGTGGCCCCAGGAGCCGAGGTTAACCCGGAGCAAACCGCCAGGCCTGCTCCCCGGGAGGCTCGGAGCTCACGCCCCTGGGACAATGGCTCTGAAATGCCCCTGCTGCCTGGTCTCTGACCTTTGTCCTCCTTTGGACAGCACGGGGTCTGCTGGTTAGTTTATATCTTGAAACGTGAAGGTCAAAATAAGAAAAGGAAAAACTTTGGGAGAAATGAAGTTTTGTTTTTTTTTTTCTACTTTCCTTCTATCGACTTGGGATCACGAGTTTTCATCCCTTCCACTCTAGAGTTTTCTTTTAATGTCGTCTCTGTCTCTATTTAGATTTCACACTCAATGCTGGTCTCTCAAAGTTACGACAGAAATGAGGTTTTAAGGGAGGAGGGGTGCAGGGCGAGAGGGAGCAGAATTAGACACGAGGCTTTTTCTTCTGTCGTTGGTGGGTACATGTGCCCGGTGGACCGTTAACCAGGCCCCCCATGCTGTCCGGAAAAATCGAAATCTCAGGGCTTGCGGCCAGGCTTCAGCCATGTCCGGAGCGCCCAAGGGGGTTCTGAGGTTTGGCTATAGGCGGGGACCATCTCGTTTTAAAGATGGGTTCTGCCAGCTTTCCCCTTGTCTTCTCTCTGCGCCTCCGCCCCCGCCCCGGCTCAGCGCCATCCCGTCCGGCCTCTCCCCACCTCTGGGTTTCCCCTGCTCGCCTGCCCCCCGTCCCTGCCCTTGGTCCTGGCCGGCTGCTTGACCCGTGTGCCCTCTGCCTCAGCAGATCTCTGAGCTGGGGAGGGCGAGCTGTGTGCAGGGTCGTCAGCCCTCGTTTGCCTGGGCCCTGTCCCGTGCGCATGCTTCCTATCAGCCTGCCGTTTAGGAATTCAGCCGTCCGCTGGGGCCCGCTCAGAAACCGCGAGAGAAATCACTAGCCACTGAGGGTGGTGACACAGTAACTATAACACACACAGATCTGCTACGGGTAAGGCATTGCAGTAAGAGCTTTGCAAGTGGTAACTCATTTCATCTCCATAACACCTATTTACATATTGGGGCACAGACACAGACGTGACAAAACCTGCCCTAGGTCACATGGCTAGAAAATTGTACAACCGGGATTTGAACCGAGGTTGAGCCTGTGCTCTGGAGCACCACACTGCAGTGGGGAAGGAGGGAAAGTCTGGGGCTGGGGCAGGGGCTGCCTTTGACTATCCTGTTGGAGATTTTTCTCAGGGTTTGACTTACACTATCATTATTATCAATCTACTTTAACATTTATCTTCGAGCCTATTAAAAAAACATTTCTTTTCCTTTCTCTCCTCAGGTGGTGTTTGGACACTAGACCATGTGCCTGGGTAGGAGCCGTTCCTCTCTCCACTGCTCTGCGCCGCCAGCACCGCGCCCCGCGCCCTCGTCCTGAGGCCGCCGTGAGGTACGGTGTCGCGGCGGAGCCCCGCTGGCCTCCGAGAGCTGAGCGTCCGGGTGCACGCGGGTTTTTTTTGTCGTCGCTTTTCCTCGGTAGTTATTATTTTAAATTATGGTAAAATGTACGTAACAAAATGGGCCATGTTAACCCTTTTTGGTGCTGTTCAGGGGGACTCGGTACATTCGCATCGCCGTCCACCCTCAGAACCCTTTCGTCTTCCCTGGTGTGAGCCCTGTGCCCTGAGACATGACCGGCCCCGCCGCCTCCCTCCCCCGTCCCGGCAGCTCCCCTCCTGCTTCCTTTCCCTACGAATGGGACCACTCTAGGCGCCGCCTCTGTGTGGACTCGTATCGGATTTGTCCTTTTGTGACTGGCCTGTTTCCCTAAGCATACAGCCTCAAGGTTTACCCACGTTTAGCACCTGTCAGATCTGTATTCCTCTCTAAGGCGGAATAACGTCTGTAGCACAGTGTGTTTTGTTGGCCCACTCGTTTGGTGACGGACAGTCCGGTTGGATTCCACCTCTTGGCTATGGTGCATAATACCGCCGTGAACACGCTACACAGGCACCCCAGAGGCCCCGCTCTCAGGTCTTTTGGGTCTGTGCCCCGAAGGGGACTCTCTGGGTCGCGTGGTAATTCTGTGCGTCACATTTCTGAGGAACCACCACACTGTTTTCCGTAGCGTCTACACCGTCAACATCCCCACCAGCAGTGAGCAGGGATTCCCAAGTTCTTCGCGTCCTCACTGGCACTTGTTAGCTTCTGGGTTTTTATTTTTCCTTTTTTGGATAATAATAGTCATCCTAATGGGTGTAACCTTGGTGCATGTTGTGCTTCAATGTACAAACGTAGAGAAAATAATATGATAAACCTCTGGGTGCTCCTCACCCAAGGCGGCAGTTACCAATCCGCCTCATTGCCGCACTCCCTCCTGCTCTCTTCCTCTTGCCCGGTGTTATTTTGAGGCAAATCCCAGACATCACATTATTTTATCTGTAAACATTTCATCATATGTCTTAAAAACATGAGGGCTTTGATATTTCATTTTGTCTGGCGGTAGAAGGGCATATAGGGATGTTCCTTTGGACACTTTGTTCCCGATCATTCCCTCGGGTCACGAGGGACAGACATAGTGGACACGGAGCTGGACGCCCGTCACCACTCTGGGTGGCTGGTGAGAGGCTGCCTGGCCGGGGCGCGGCTTTCCTGCGGAGCCGACTGCCCCACGTCTGAGCAGCCCTCATGGAAGAGCCCGCCTAGATCTCAGCTGAGAGGGGAAGGCGAGAAGAGGGGAGAAAAGATGATGAGGAAGAGCATGAGAGAGCGCAAGGAGGGAGGGGTGGGCAGGCATGGGGGCAGGGATGGGGACAGAGGGATGGAAAGGGGAAGTGTGCGTGGACGTGCGTGGACATACGAGAAGGGAGTGAGAGACAGAACACCTGGGAGAGAGCCTTTGCCTGCCCTGAACCTCCTGAAGTCATCTAAGTAAACCACAGAGACACCCTAAGACCAACAGCCTGCTCCCTGTGTCCTCCCAAAACCTGGTCAGGTTTGGACACTTTGGGAGCATAGTTTGCCTGTGGTGGATGAGACTGGTAGCGCCCTGGGAACCACCGAAGACATAGGTGCCAGCGATGGGGAAGGAGTGACCAGTGGAATAGCTACGTTCTTGTTTCTGGGGCCCTTGGTCGGGGCGTGGAGGCTCGGTGCCCAGCAGGTCCGAGGCTGCTGGCTTTTTCTTAAATTTGGATCTCCCTACCACCAAGGGATGGTACTTTTATGAAGTTCAGGGGGAGGGGCCCCTCAAGGACAGTGTGTGAGCAAGAAGTGTCCTGTGCCCCTTTCTGTCTCAGCCTTTGGGTCTTATTCATGTCTAACAAGGTTCGGCGCCCAGTGCCCAGTTAGCGCTGAGATCGGTTTGCAGTAATGGAAGTAAAGGGGGCACCGGTTACAGAGTGTCCATTTGTATCTGGTCCGCAGCTCTGTTTAAACTTTGTTGCCTATTCCTAGTTTCCACCCCCAGCACCTCAGCCTCTCGCTCAGTTCTCCAGTCCCCTGTAATCCCAGCTCCCTGCAGTTCTATCCCCTTTTCTTCCTTTTTATCCTTTTAAAAATATATAACAGCTCTGTTGAGACATAGTTCACAGGGCTTACAATGCACTCATTTAAAGTGCCCAGTTCAGCGGTTTTTAGTACATTCATGGAGCTGTGGCCCTGGCGCCCTCTCTCTCCCCTGGCGGCGCCCTGATCCACCCTCAAGACAGATGGCCTTGTTGTGGAGACACTGGCCAGCAGGCACTTTCCTCCAAGAGAACATTTAACTCAATCACCCCGCAGGAGCCCAGGATTCATAGACATTAAAAGCTAAACACAGATGACAATGCAGATTTGCCAACTGCTTGACGGGTAATGAACCTGCTTAGGAATCGGTGAGTGTCCATGACCAGTGTCCGTTCTGGACAGGGGAGCCTGCCACACACCACGCCCCCTTTCTCACGGAGGGTTCCCTTCCGGCGACCACACCGGAGCTTAGAAACAGACAGTAAAGAAACAGGTCCGGCGGGCAGATGTGCTGTGAAGAAAAATACGCCCTTCTGCGGAATAAAGGGGCAGAGATTGGCGGAGGGTGTGGGGATTGGCGGCCTAGGTCCCGCGGTCACAGGAGCCCCCTTGGACAAAGTGGTTTTTGAGTAAGACCTGCAGGCGGCAAGGAATGAGCCCCCGAGATCTCGGGGAGAATGTCCCAAGCAGTGGGCACGGGACGTGCGAAGGCTCAGCGTCGGTGCCCAGCGCGCCTGCGGGGCAGCAAGGAGACCTGTGCAGAGGGGCAGGGGGGCAGTTAGAACCGCACGCCCCTCCCCCGCCACCCTGCGAGTGGGCCTGGGTATAGGCTGGGCTTCAGTCTCTGTGACGCGCGGGGCCTGACAGGTGTCGCAGGCGGCACACCGCTGGCCCTGGGGGGAGTGAGCAGCAGAGGCAAAGGGGGGAGCAGGGAGGGCGGCTGGCAGGCCGTCGTGGGGACCGGGCGAGGGAGGGATGGCAGAGGCCATTGGAAGTGGCCTGCGTGGGTATAGTGGGCAGTGGTGTCCCAGGATTTGCCAGATGCCAGGCACGGAGGAGAGAGGGCTCACAGACGCCCGGGTTTCGGCCTCAGCCCCTGGAGGGATGGAGTTGCCATTTCCTGACCCGAGACAAGAAGGAATCCCAGGAAGAAATCGAGGGTTAGGTTTTGGACATCGTAGGGTCAGGGTGCCGATCTCAAGACAAACCCACATCTCGACTCTCCGGGATACTAATTAATAACTTAGTGCCTGTGGAGGAGCTGACGTAATAGCAGAAGGCAGAACGTTTTCCTGAGGCGACTACAACAAAGGCAGAACATGGTGCCGTGGGGAGAGTGGGGGGACAAGCACAGGGGCGGCTGAGGCGGCCTGTGACGGGCGGGCAGGACAGCCCTCCGCCCTTCCTCCCCCAGGACGCCCGAGCCCTGGGTGGGCCCTCGGCGGCACCTTCGAGGCGTGGCCGCGGGGTTTCCAGAAGGTGGTGGGGGACTCGAGAGCAGGGCCTCCCCTCTGGGCCCTCAGTGCCAGGCGTGGGCCTTGGCGCTTGGCGAACGTTTGACGGGTGTGGCCCTCCGTCTCCGAGGCTCAGTCCTGCACGTGTGAGATGCAGGGGCCGGGCTAGGTCAGTGCACCGGGATCGACCGGGAAGCCCACACGCCTGCAGGGGTGCACCCCAGACCCGCTGAGCCAGCACTCCCAGGGCCTCAAAGCGCATGTTCTTCTTTTGCAGTCAGTCCAGCCGCCGCCTGCAGAGGGCACGTGGTAGCCCCCGGACCAGATACCTCCTGAGGGCCCCTCCAGCTCCGACGTCCTGTGAGTCTGGTTATAGTGCTTGCGGGATCACGGGGCTTTCGGTTGGGGGTTTTTTGTTTGGGGCGGAAGGGCTTGTGTGGGGAGAGGGGAAGAGGCCTCTGGGTGAAGGCAGAGGGCCCCTGGGGAGGGGCGTCGGCGGGGGCTGTGGGGAGGCACTTGGAGTGGACCTGGGAGGGCTGGGGGCCGCGACAGCCAGGTGGGTTAGGTCCTGGAAAGAGGGGTAAAGAATATGACCCCGCCTTTGGAGACGCTCACAGGCAGATGGGAGGTGCTGCCACGGAGGAGGAGAGGCGGGGGAGGGGACACTCAGAGAGGCAGGGAGTCCAGCCCAGGCCCTGGGGCTGCAGAGGAGCTCTCAGGAGGGAAAGTAGTGTCTGGGGCCAGCTGGGGGGGGAGTCAGGTGGTATCGCCTGGGTCCATGGGGCACCTGTCGTCTTACCTGTTGTTGAGAATCTCTTTGAGCTGTTTTTTTGCTCATGATTAGAATATGAGCTGCCTCATGAAATGGAACTTTGGCCACTGACCAGCCCAGACCATGGGTGACTTGGCGTCACTCAGACCTGTGGGCAGGCCGTCCGACGCGTGTTCGGCAGGACCGTGGGAGGGATGCGGGAGGGAGTCTGCTTGTCCCCCGGAGGAGTTAGCCTTACGCAGAAATCCAGTCTGCCCGCAGTGCGTAGCCCAGCCGCTGCAGCCTCGCCTGTTGAAGGGCTGAGCTCCTTCAAGGTGGTGTCATTTTGCGTGTTAAACCAGGACCTGCCCAACATCTTCACACAGGAAATTGGTGAGAGGGCAGGGATGAACGCCAGCTCTTGTGTTCCCAGATTCTTATTTTTTGAGCTCAGCCACTCCCAGTTGGGGGCTTCATTCTGGGTCTGGGAACGGGGGACCCGCTTCTTTTTTTCCCTGCTTCCTTTGATCCAGCTTAAGTTCCTCCCTTCGCCATCAGCCTCGGACGCACCGTCCCTCTGATCCGCGCCCCAGCCACGGTCCCACGGGAGCCCCCGGCGGTGACGGGAGCCCGGCGGCTCAGTCTCCCGCGGACTCGGGCTCGCTCCCCTCGCAGCGTCCGGTCCGGCGGCGGGCGAGGCGCCCCTGCCTGGCAGCCCGTCCCGCACTTGCTTCTGGTCCCAGCTTCTGCTAAGTCATCCCTCTCTGTCTCTGTCTCTCACACTTGAGTCACCCTTTACTCTCTTGCCCCTGCTATGCTCCTCCTTCCAAAATACAAAGCTGAGGGGAACTTTCATTTGCCCATTTTGAAACCCTTGCCTGCCGAGCCCAGGCTGTGTCACCGTGTCAGCCGTGGTCCGCGGGGCCGGGGGAGAGCGCCCCCACAGCGTACTGGGCCAGGAGGCACTCGCATGTTGGGGGCTCCGCGCTTTTGTTGTCTCTCAGCCCAGGGCCGCTCAACTGGGTGGCTTTCACTTGCACTGTGTGGATCTGTGACGTGCCGTGTGCTTCCTTGTCTCAGTCAACGATGCACTGAATGCAGGGCAGCATTTTCTTAATGCTTTCGGGGGGCCTCTGCCCCTCGGTGTCCTGTTGCTGGACTTCTAATAATCTGCTGTCGATGAACTTCATTAACGCGGCTGAGATAAACAGGTGACCAAGTTCAATGTCACTCGAAGGTCAGAGGCTTCGATGCTGAGGGAAAGGAAGCTCACCTGTGTAGTCACCATTTCTTGTTCTTAGTTCCTCTGAGCCTTTTCTTATGTTTGTTTCTAAATTTGAATAAGTGTGGGCATTCCTGCATTTATATCTTTTACCTCTAACAACTTCAGTATGTTTTCCAACTAATGGGTGAAGTTATCTTTTATTTGTCTTCGTCTTTTGTTTTAAACTTCAGAATGCTGCCCTCCCCTCTGTAGTGTTTTGAGGTTGGATGGACAGACTTGGACTTGGGTTAGGCCCCTGGGTCCCTGAATCCTCATCTCTGTGGAGTGAACTACAGTTCAGCCTGGTAAGGCTCTCGTCAGAAAGCCCTTTATCCGCTTATCACTCCACTCATTTCTCAGCCCCTCTCCCAGCTCCGGTGGGTCTTTCTGGAGGTTCTGGGGCCCCAGCTGCCCAGCACATTCAGCCATGGACACTGAGTGGGTCGAATAAGGGCAGGATCACCGGTTTTATGTTGTTTCCAGTGTCCTTTCTGGTGATGCCCAGTGTTTCGTGGGCCTTGTATGATGAAACACGCAACATGGTGTCATCAGAAAATGGCCTAGGCTGATTGTAAACTAATTTTGTCACAAATAATGTGGTAATCATTATCTCCATCATGTGCATATTGATTTCCGTAGGATGAATTTCTGGAAGTGGAATTCTTGGGTTTTATGTATCGCTAACTTGCTTTGGGGTTTTTTTTTTTGGGTGGGGCCTGGGGGAGGGTCTTATAAAACTTTTTTTTTGACCTAAAAATGAGGCCTCTCTGAGGCTGTCCACATGGGTATACGTGTCACACATGAATAAACCTGAGTGAAGGCATGAAACACGATTGACATAAAAGTACGCCGTGGGGTGCTCTATAAGAAGTGACTGTTGCTGCCTGCAGCCACAGCAGTGCTCCGCTGAGGCCGACCCGGGGAATGAAGCCCCTTCGGCTCAGGCGAGATCCGTAGCAGCAGGCCGTGCAAGACGGGCTTTCTGTGCTAAATTGCTCTCAGGGCAGGCTCTATCATTTTACGTTATTTTCAAAGTGCTTACTTTGCTACATGTCTGCCAGCATTAAGGATTATAAGAAACCTTGGTCAATTTGGTAAGCCAAAAATGGTTTCTCGTGATTTTAATTTCTCTTTCTCTAATTTTATTGGTAGACATTTTGGTTTTTATTGGTAGACTTTTTCTTGACAGTTCCTTCTTCTGCTTGTATAACAGGGTTCACTTTGACTTATGTTTGTTTTCTGCTTATAAACAGTGTGATGCTGTAGAGCAAAGTTTAAGGAAATACAAATACTTAGGTACACTGTGTATGCCTTAGTCACTGTCATCGATGGCTGGCGTTTGGGTTTTCCTTACGAGGCCAAAATAGAAAATAGGACTGGATGTTTGGCTTTAAAAAGAGGCAGCTTTGGTATTTAAAACCCAAAGGTTAGAAATGTTTTTCCTGCTGCTGACAGTGAGCGGCCGCACCATTTACTAGCTCTGGTTTCCTTGCAAAAGATGCCTTACCTACCTCTGACTGTTTTGAGCCAAATCGCGAGATTTCTCTGTGTGGAGGACATTTCTTTCTTCTGATGTAATATTTCTCTGCTTCAAGAGTTAGACAATAGGAGGCTCCCCGCTATTTCCCACACACGCCGCCAACTTCCCCTCCTCCTGCACGCTTTCCCCAGCTCCTTAAAGAGACAAATCTGTTCTACCTTCTCTCCAGCCTTTTTTTGTCCTAGACAATAAAAAGAAAAAAGAAAAAAAAAAATAGGAAGGGAGGTGGGATAAGATTATAAAGCAAATATCACACAGGTACTTCCGTGGCATTAGGGTGCCAAGTGCTGTCACTGGTAGTTGGTACCTTCCCCTGGGTGATGGGCCCAGCACAGCCTGTTCCAGCTCATGGCCATTTGTTGTCCAGAAATGTCACACGTCAGCAAGGCGTTCTGCTAACTGCGTATGGTGTAGACAATTCGCTTTATTATTATCCACCAAGACTAGATAGCTTTCCAGTTGGGGAGGGGGGGTAATTTTATTTTCCGTGCGGACTCTTAAGCAGATGTGTTTTGTTGGTTGGAGGCTGGGAGGGGGCAAGCGACCAAACCTGCAAGCCTGCTGCCCCGGGGATGGGGGGGCAGGCGTGCCTCTGCCGTGCCACCTGCTCCCCTGTGGTTCTAAGTGGCTTTTTTCTTTATTTTTCCTTTTTAAAATGATAAAAGCAGTCTCTCTGCACAAAAAAATTTTTGAAAAAATAGCCCACCAGTAATCTCACCGCCCTGTGTAATAATTTTTCTCTTTTAATCTGGGCTCAAACGCAGCCTTCGTTTTACAGTGTTGTCGTCCGACATGACAACACTTTGTGTTTATTTATTTTTTAACTTTAACACTATTAAGTAATTTTCCGTGTTGCTATGTAGATTTCATAATTAGGATTTTTAAAGATTAAATTATTGGGATAACATTGGTTAATAACACTGTGTAAACTTGAGGCGTGTAACTTTCTAACACGACAGCGGTATGTAGCGTCGTGTGCTCGCCACCCCGAGTCCAGTCTCCTTCTGCCGCCACGTATTTGACCCCATTTACTCTCTTCATCCTCCCCCCTCCCACCCCTCTGGCGACAACCATTCTGTTGTCCGTATCTATGAGTTAGTTAGTTTCTTGCTTTTCGTTTTAGACGCCTCACGTAAGTGAAATTCTGCCGTTCTTGCCCTTTTTTTGTCCGCCTTGTTTCACTCAGCGTAATACTCTCATGGTCCGCCCACGTTGTTCCAAGTGGCAGAGTTTCATCTTTCTCATGGCCGAGTCGCATCCCACGGTGTATATGTACCGCACTTTCCTTCTGCAGTCTGCTGTGGAAGGATGCTTAGCACAAACAGGCTTTTTCTGACGGCATAATAGTCTATCTGTGAGTCAGCCACTCTCTGTTCTTGGACACTTAGACTGTGTGTGTGTGTGTCTTCTGTGTTATTTTAATAATGCCGTACACTTTCGCATACAGCTTTTGGGAATTTTTGTTCATAGGATAAATTTCCAGCCATGGGCATCCTGGACCAAAGGGTTTTCTACTGATCTGGTTTCTCTGCAGCTTCTGAACTGCTTTCTCCAAGAACTGTGTCACTCTGCCCTGGCTGGGTGGCTCTGTTGGTTGGAACGTCATCCCGTGCACCAAAAGGTCACGAGTTCATCCGTGGTCAGGGTGCATATGGGAGGCAACAGAGCGATGTTTCTCCCTCACATTGATGTTTCTCTCTCTTTCCCTTTCTCTCTCTAAAAATCAATAAGCATATGGTTGGGTGAGGATTAAAAAATTTTTTAAAAAGAAAAAGAATGGTGTCAATCTGCGTCCAGAAAGATTTTCAATATAAACATGGTGTAAGAAGCATGTGAGCAAGTAAAGACTCTGGGACGCGGAAGCCGATGCAGGTTTACAGGCTGAACGGGGAGCCGGGGGGCTGCCCTCCCTCCCCCCCTGCGGCAGGCCTGAGCCAGCCAGCTGCACGGATCACTAAGCGTGCGTGTCCCGGTCGTTTCCTACGGGGAGGCCTGTTTCCCGGGGCCTTGGGCTGCCTCTGCGGCCGTAGTTCTGTAGCTCCGCTTTTCCAGATCATGGAAGAAACAGGTAGACTTTCTTTTCTTTGTGTATTAAGTTAAAATAAAATTCAGGACAACTCCAACATGGTTCCCTGGATGATGTGATAATTACGTGTTTCCTTAAGGGCCACCCCCCCCGCCGGCCCCCGCTCCTCAGGTTCAGTGGTCTATTCACCAAATCAGTAACAGTTTTAGGGTGAAAATTAAGGGATTAAGTAGACGCTGACTAGAATAAAAAGGAACCGAGGGGATGATACAATTTTCTAGAGTGCATTTATGAACCAGCATCAATCCCGGCAGTAGCAAATCATTTTGAAGTGGATTGCATTTTATGCAGCAAAAAACCTAAGTTATGCAAAGTTAATGATTATTGAGAGTAAATTAGCAGAACTTACCGCCAGGCCACGTATGTGAATCAGAAGTTTGCGAGAGAAGGGAGGGGCGGAGCCAGGCACTGCTTGAAGGGGCTGAGTGACCAGTAGTTTTGCCAGCGCACCTGCCCACGGGGCGCGGCAGTTCCCTGACAGACGGAGCGAGTGTGCCGTGTCTGCGCCGTGTCTGCGCCGTCTCCTTGGCTGTGCAGCCAGCCAGGAATTCCTAGGTATGGAGGTTGAGGGCCTGCCAGGCTTGCCACTACATATAAACTTTTCCTCTCACCACTCGCCCTAGGTCCCTAGCATTTTGGAAACCCGCCCGGGGTGGAACCCAAGTGTGCGACTTCCCACAGTGTGGGGCATATCGCGTGGGCGAGCTGGCTGCATGTACGCTAGTGTGAGGGGTGCGCAGGGAAGAGGGTGCTGGGCGGACTCCGGTAGGGGCTGGTGACCAGTGTCTGTTCTCTGCTTCTGTTACAGCCTTTACCAGCGTCCAGCCATGGGGGATATGAAAACTCCAGATTTTGATGACCTTCTGGCTGCCTTTGACATCCCAGACCCCACCAGCCTCGATGCCAAGGAGGCCATCCAGACCCCCAGTGAGGAGAATGAGAGTCCCCTCAAACCTCCAGGCATGTGTATGGAAGAGAGTGTGTCCTTGTCGCACTCAGGGTCGGCCGCCGACGTGCCGGCCGTGAGCGTCATTGTCAAGAACACCAGCCGCCAGGAGTCGTTCGAGGCGGAGAAAGACCACATGGCTCCCAGCCTCCTCCACAACGGATTCCGGGGCTCGGACCTGCCCCCGGAGGCCCACAGCTTGGGCCACGGCTGCGGGAAGTTCGATTCCACGTTCATGAATGGAGACAGTGCCCGGAGCTTCCCGGGCAAGCTGGAGCCTCCCAAGTCAGAGCCGCTGCCAACCTTTAACCAGTTCAGCCCCATCTCCAGCCCAGAGCCCGAGGATGGCATCAAAGATAACGGGTTCGGGCTGAAGCCCAAGCACTCTGACAGCTATTTCCCGCCTCCTCCTGGGTGCGGGCCTGTCGGGGGCCCAGTCCTGGAGGCCCTGGCTAAGTTTCCGGTCCCGGAGCTGCATATGTTCGACCACTTCTGTAAGAAAGAGCCCAAGCCAGAGCCCCTGCCCCTGGGGAGTCAGCCGGAGCCTGAGTGCGGGGCGCAGAAGGCGGCGGAGCCTCCCAAGGAGCTGGACGCCAGCCGCTTCTTCGGGGACGCGTTGGAGTTCAACAGCCACCCCAGCAACAGTGTCGCAGAGCCCAAGGGGCTGGCGGCGGAGCTGGGCGCCTGCTCATCAGTGCCCCCGAGGCAGCGTCTGAAGCCAGCCCACTCCAAGCTGTCCTCCTGTGTGGCGGCCCTGGTGGCCCTGCAGGCCAAACGAGTCGCCAGCGTCACCAGGGAGGATCAGCCGGGCCACACAAAGGATCCCTCAGGGCCCACGAAAGAGGGCTCCAAGGGCAGCCCCAAAATGCCCAAGTCACCAAAGAGTCCCCGGAGCCCTCTGGAGGCCACAAGGAAAAGCATCAAGCCATCGGACAGCCCCCGGAGCATCTGCAGCGACAGCAGCAGCAAAGGCTCTCCTTCAGTGGCTGCCAGCTCCCCACCAGCAATTCCCAAAGTCAGAATCAAAACCATTAAGACATCATCGGGGCAAATCAAACGGACCGTCACCAGGATCCTGCCAGACCCTGACGACCCCAGCAAGTCCCCCGTTGGGTCACCTTTGGGGAGCACCATTGCTGAGGCCCCCAGCGAGGCGCCGGAGGACGAGGTCCATGCCCTGCCGGCCGCGGAGCACTTTCCTGAGGGGGGCACATGCGCGGGGAGCCCCCAGGGTGACAGGAAAGGGGTTGAGAGCGCGACCAAGGCCAGTGAACCCGCGTCTCCCAGCTGCAGCGCTGGGCCCCGGGCCCCGAAGGCGGCAGCGCCGGGCTCGCAGACGGGCAAGAAGCCGCAGCAGGGCGCGGCGCCGCAGGCGTCCGCCCCGGCCTCTGCCAACCTCCTGCCCAAGGCCGTGCACCTGGCCAACCTGAACCTGGTCCCCCACAGCGTGGCGGCCTCCGTGACAGCCAAGTCCTCCGCGCAGAGGCGGAGCCAGCCGCAGCCCACGCAGATGTCGGTGCCCCTGGTCCACCAGGTGAAGAAGGCCGCCCCGCTGGTCGTGGAGGTCTTCAACAAGGTCCTCCACAGCTCCAACCCCGTGCCCCTCTACGCGCCAAATCTCAGCCCGCCCGCCGACAGCAGGATCCACGTGCCCGCCAGTGGGCACTGCTGCCTGGAGTGCGGGGACGCGTTTGCCTTAGAGAAGAGCCTGAGCCAGCACTACGGCCGGCGCAGTGTCCACATCGAGGTGCTGTGCACGCTCTGCTCCCAGACGCTGCTCTTCTTCAACAAGTGCAGCCTGCTGCGCCACGCCCGTGACCACAAGAGCAAGGGGCTCGTCATGCAGTGCTCGCAGCTACTCGTGAAGCCCATCTCTGCGGACCAAATGTTCGTGTCGGCCCCCGCGAACTCCTCCCCGGCCCCCGCGGTCCCGGCCCCCGGTCCCCCTCCCCCGCCCTCCCCCAAACACGGCCCCACCATTCCAGCCCTGCCGCTCTACCCCGACCCCGTGAGGCTCATCCGGCACGGGGTCAAGTGTCTTGAATGTCACAAGCAGATCCGTGACCACACGGTCATGGCCGCACATTTCCAGAGGATGTCAGAGGAGACCGAGGGGCTGGTAAGTGACCCTTCCTGGGGTGGGTGCCGGTCCCTGGTTCACACGGGCTCCACGTTGGGCAGGGGCAGAAAAGCTCATTGATGGGGGAGTTGGCGGCGTCTTAGGAGTCTTAGGGGAGGGTGTCTGGCTTGGTGGTTAGCGACTGGCCTGAGTATATAAAGCGGTTGGTGTTTACTCGGGGAGGCGTCCTGCCCGCGGCGGAGAGGAGCCCCTGAAGACTTGGCGAGTGTTTTCGTGGACGTGCTCCATCATCGTCCACTCGCCTCGCTGAGTGGACGAGGGGAGTGTCCACTCGCCGGGTGTCGGCACAGTCTTCTCAGGTGCACGGCGGGCGCGCGCCTCGGTCTGTCCGGAGAACCTGCCTTGACTGTGCTTCACTCCGCCCGCTGTGGACGCAGCTCTCGTGCGGCGCCCATGGGGAGGCTGCAGGAGGCCCGGCGTCAGGGCCGATGCGGAAGGAAGGAGGGCACAGCGACCTGGGGGCCCCCTCTCTCCTCCGTGTTCTCACCCCTCCAGCGGAGCAGCTGTGCTTCTCTGCCTCCCGTTCTTGGTAACGTTTGATGAGGTCTGGCTTTATTTAAAGAAGAAAAGACATGTGTGCTGAAAACACCCTTTGGCACCCTCTGTGTCGGCGGCCGTCTGTGTTAGCACGGAGCATGGTCCCGTGGAGAATCGGGGCTCCTCACAGGCCTCCAGAGGCTCTTTCCCTCCTGCTCCGCGTGGAAGGAGTCTGTCCGTGACCCTGCCGAGCCCGCCCCCTCCCCAGCCTCCCCCGTCCACGGCTGCGGAGCCCGGGACGGCAGCACAGCAGCTCCTTCCCTTCAGTTCAGCGGGGGCTGCACACTGGCCAGCAGCGATGAGCCGCGCACCTGCCGCGGGTGCCCACGGCGTGCATGGAGGCCCCGTGCTGTGCTGAGGGCCGGGGCGCCAGCAGGAGGGAGTCGCCCGGCTCCTGCTGGAGCTCATGGTGGCACAGCAGGGGCAGGGCTCCCCCCGAAACAGCCACCATGCGTGCAGACTCAGCGTTGGGTTGAGACAGCTTGTTGACGTAGTTGCAGAGGGTGCCTCAGAGGGACTAATGCATCGCGATGCCACACGTGACATGGGAGTGTGGACGAGGGGACAGCAGGGTGTTCGGGCAGAGGAACAGCGAGCGGTGTGTGAAAGTGCCAGGCGTGTGTGGGGACAGGGAGTTGTCGGGCGTGAGGCCAGCCTTGGGGCAGAGACGGGAGGAGGAACAGGTGGGGCCGTGGGCTTCCGCGGCTCCGGAGGGGCCAGCGAGGTGCCGCCGGGTCACTGTGGCCTCTGACGTTCACCTGTGTCTCCGTGTTTTTCTCCTGATGCGTCATGTGCTCAGAGCCCCTTCCTCAGGGGCCTCAGGTACTGGGCTGGTTGACTGGACCCCAGATCGCTGCTTCTGAGTCATGTGCTCGGAACCACGGCCGGAGCCGGTCTGATGCCTGGGCCCCTGGGTGTTCTCCTACGCTGTCCCTCAGCCGGCTTCTAAGACGTGAGCCGCAGCCTGGGCGTCGGATCCCAGGCCGGCACCCTCTCGTCCCGCCTGTTCCCTCTGCCACTCTCCTCTCGTGGGAGCTGGACAACAGGAGGGGAGCGAGCACTGGGAGGACTGTCAGGCTCCTCTCAGCCTCGTTCTAATCCCCCAAAACCTCCTGCCCGTACAAGTGGCCTTTGAGTCTCAGCGAGAGGGTGAGGCCTGGGCTCGGGTTTCCCGGAGTGGCACCCTGGCTTCAGGCCACCCCCAGGGCAGGGGGTGGACAGAGGGATGGGCCTTTGCTCCAGGGTAGGGGCTGCCAGGCAGCACGTTAGGGCCTTCTCTCTTCTCCCTGGGAGTCGGCCCCTGAGCCGGACCTGCCTCCCTGCGCTGTGGCTGGAGGGGTCCTTCCCCCGACATTGTAAGCTGCCCCATTGGGCAGGATGTGAGCACAGAGGGGCTGTGTCTCCTTGTTCTTAATGTCATTATCCCACCTCGCAAAATGAGGAACAGTTCCTTAATATGTCCTAACACAAGTCCACATTCAAATTTTCCTGTTCACGTCAAAAACTGCCTTTGAATCAAGATCCAAATGTGGACCCCACTTCACTTTGGTTTGTTCATTAAGTCTTTTAAGCTGCTGGTCTGGGACAGTGCCTCCCTCTCCCCCCAGGGAGGCCCCCTTTTTTCATGTCATTGATTTGTTGAGGGACCTGGGTCACGTGTCCTCAGGATTTTCCAGGGCAATTCTGAGTCTGATTGATTGCTTCCTGAGAACTTTGCAGGATAATTTTGGGTTTGCCTGATTGCTTCCTCATACAATTAACTTGTTCTTCTATAATCCCACATTTTATCTGTAGACTGGAAATGAGCAATAAAGACTTGATTAGCGTCGGGTTCAGTATGCAGGAGGGGAAGTCCCGAGTTCTACACATTTCGTGACTTCAGGGAGGTGCCAAGTGCTTGATGGTCTCAGTTTTAATGACGCTAAACTTCTGCGGGAATTCGGACAGTGGCTTTCTGATCCCTTCATCATCAAGTTCCTGTCTTTTGCCTAATGATTTTTAATATCCATTAATAATTGCTGCTTGAGTCAGTAAGAGTTGCAGAACGGTGTTTTTCTAATTTTATTTTATTGTTGTTGTTGTTTATTAGCTAGGATCCTTTATAAATTATCTTTCCCTCCTCTGTGAGGACTGTTTGGTTACCCTGAAATATTGTTTACATTGGGAAATGGGATAAATGCATCATTTGTTCCCCTTAGTTAACAGTGTTCCAGGAGTGAGTTGTTTTTCACAGGGGTTGCACGAATTTACAGCCCCACCAACCGAGAACAGAGGTTTCAGTTGTGCTTCACCCTCACCAACATTTGTCATTTTCTGGTTTTTTAAAAAAAAATAGTAGCCATCCCAGTAGGTGTCCAGGGATCCCGTCTGCTACTTTTAGTGTTGGGATGAACTCATTCATTTTTGTATATTCAGGCACTCTGTCTGATGCCCATGTTATCCCATCATTGGTGCCTGGAAGCATCTTCAAGCTGATTCCTGTGTCCTATGACACGAACCCATTGAGCCTTAAGAAGCTTCCTTCCTTTCAGCCCCAGCAAGATGCCCTGGGTGCATTTCTTGGGCTAAACCTAGAATCGGCCGTTTTCCCAGGAGCCAGGTTTCTCTTTGTGAGGAATGGTATTTAGAGGCCACACTCTGCATGCCAGAGGCGCTCAGTGCTACTGGATGCAGCCACTTTGTTTCTAGGTTTTTTCAGGGGCCGGAGCTAAGAGGTAAACATTTTTTAAAAGAGGAAAGAAAGCTCATGAGTTTATACTGGTGTTCAAATGGAAGATTATAGTTTTTATGGAACTGATTTTATAATGAAAGTCTCGGTTCCTGAGATTTTCCTACTACACACACACACACACACACACACACACTCTCTCTCTCTCTCCAAAGGATCAAAAGCAACGTCACTTGTAACATCAGGAGACACCATAAAGGTGAGGGCCCGTGTGCAGTTCTTACACTGTATCACGTTAAGGGTGTGTAGGTCAAAATAGTGTGTTGGAATGGTCACTGGGAGTAATTTTTTTCCCCCTGTATGGTTGATATATAGTTGCTTGATGTATAGTTAGGATACTTGTTTCTTTTTTTCAATTATTAGGGAATGCTTTTGTTCATTTAGTTTAATTTCATCTTGTTTAACAATTATATAAAACACTTGATTCCCAAGTTAAAACTCTATAACAAGGTATGTCCAAAGAAGTCCTGCCTCCCCCCACCGTCCTTGTAGCCTGGTCCCGCCTTCTCCATAGGTAACCGTTTTATTCACTTCGGGTTTAGTGCTGCATTGCTTCTTTTTTTGCAAATAAAAGCAAACACGCTTGTGCGATACTCTCCTCTTTCTTACACGAAAGAGCATACTCACTGTTCTGCAACTAAAGTAATACCTAAAAAAACTTTTTATTATGGGATGTCCCACATATACATAAAAGTGCAGAGAACGGTATAATGGACCCTCCTGTAACAGGTACCAAGTCATGGCCCTTCTTGTTTTGGGCATTGTCTTACCCACCCTTCCCCTCCAATGGATTATTTTTAAACAGATCCCAACATCATCGTATCTGTAAACATTTCAGTATGTCTCTCTAAAAGATAAGGGCTTCTCCCCTAAAATACAGGCGTAATACCATTACGTCTCAAAATTAATAATTTCCCATTATCAGATCTTAATCTCAAGTGTCTAATGTTCCCATACTATTAAGGTAGTTTTTTTTTTTTCCTATGACATAATTACTTCTTTTTCCTTTCAATTTTATTTTGTATTGGTTTCAAGTGTACAGCTTAGTGATTAGACAATGATATACTTTAGTTTTCCAAGTTAGTGTTAAATATAATAATAAAATAATAATAATGGAATTTAGTGGCTCATTCCTTTTTGCACTTGGCTTTCTTGAAGCAGAATCCAAATAAGCATTATACATTGCAGTTGTTGAACATTACTCTTCCTTCAATTTCTTTTAATCTGTAAGTCCCGCCCCCCTCTTTTTTCCTTGTAATTTATTTGTAGAAAGAACTGGGTTTGTCCTGTAGAGGCCCCGCATTCTGGACTTTGCTGATTAAAGCAGAGGTCCTTTCCTGTCCTCCCTGACAACCTGTCCCCCTGCCTGCACAGCTCCTCTGACCGAGGTCAGGGTCCCTCCATTCCCCCCCCCCGCCGCCCCCAGGGAGCAGTGTAGTTTTCTCCTCTTTACTATGGAGGGCTCCTCCAGGCATGGCTCAGCCCGTGGCTTCCCCTCTGGCTGCCCGAGCTCTGCCCTCTAGAGCTTCGGGGAATCTGGCTGTAGGACCTGCGTTCCCTTGGTTCTCCCCTCTGCCCGCCCCGAGTGCACGGCTGAGGCTGAGGGAATGGGAAGGGGCAAGGCCATGAGGTCAGTGTGCGCCCGGGGCTTCTGCCGCCAGCGGGGGTAGGCTCGGGTCCCCCAGGAGGTCACTGACCCATCCGATGGGAGGTATGGAATGGGAGCCACCTCTGTCCTGGTGAGTCTGGCAGTGAAGAGAGATCTTAGAATTCAAGGAGTGCCTTAGGCCTCTGGAAGGGAAAGGCTGGTCCTCTGCTAAGCCAGGCGGGAGACATGCTCACAGTCCACGTGCAGATTAATGTTTGGGGAAACAGGGTCAGGTCTGTCTCGGAGAAGAAGGTGAGAGGTGAAGCTTGCTTGGTGAGGTCTGGGGCGCCCAGGTATTCGATGAGAGCTGGAGGAGGGAATGGCTGTGGGGGCGGCTCTTCCTGACCCAGACCCTGGGGACGTCAGGCGCCTGTGCGCGGAGAGCCCCCGGCCTGCGGCCCCCGCGTCAACTGCTTTCTCGCTGTCCTTTCCTAGACGTGCCCAGTGTGCCAGATGCTGCTGCCCAACCAGTGCAGCTTCTGTGCCCACCAGCGGATCCACACCCACAAGTCCCCGTACTGCTGCCCGGAGTGTGGGGCCCTCTGTCGCTCCGCCTACTTCCAGACCCACGTGAAGGAGAACTGCCTGCACTATGCCCGCAAGGTGGGCTACAGGTGGGTGCTGCCTGGCCCCGGCCCCGTCCTGTCCTCCGGATGGCTGGTCCTTCCCCTGGGCCAGCGCTTGGTTCAGACGGAGCGTGGTCTCCAGGGTCCTAGGCCCCAGCCTCCTAAGACAGGACATTGATGGGTAGGTGGACGAACGCGTTTATTTCCCAGAGAACAAAGAGAGCCAGAGGGAGAAGAATAAGGAGTAAAAAAAAAAAAAATCAAACATTAGTGAAAATAGCTGTGAAGGGGGAGGATTTGGAGAGATTAGAATATCTATAAGGCTCACTTTGTCAGCGTGGTTTTTAAGAATGTATACATTTAATTTGCTCACAAAGTTACTGTGTCTGGCAGATCCCATTTGAAGCACTATTTCAATCATAAATTTACTGATTGTAGCACTTTGAAACATTCTCAATTTTCATTAACAAACGGAGCTGCAAGACTCCAGGCTCAAAGGGCTCTAGTGTCTTTGTGTTGATTAGTTTCTGTCAGTTTGTGAGAAGCAAGCAAAGCCCGAGAATGGAAAAAATGATCAGCCTCATAGTAAAAACAAGAAAAGTCTATTTTAGACTGAATCTCCTCCATTGTGTCAAACGTACAGAAGCAAGAAGTCATTTTCAGGAAGAAAGATCAAAATGGGGGGAAAACTCCCTCTGAAGCTCATTGACCGATAACTTTCACATTGACCCAGGCAGGTCTCCTGTACTAACTTGCCGCATTTGGGAGCTTCTACATCATACGGCTTGTTTTCACTTCTGATGCTTCCTTCATTTTGCCCAAATTTAGTAAGGTTTTCTTCTCTTTGGTATTTAAAAAAATTTATTGATTTAGGTCAGTGCCAGACGCCGAAGATATAAAAATGATTAAGACATAGCCCCTGCGCTGGAGGCGGCTTCAGTGTGGGGGATTGTCAACATGTGCACAGCAGGCGTAGCTCCCAGCGGTAAGTCCTGCAGTGGAGGAATGGCCAGGAAGGCTTCCTGGAGGAGGCAGTAGGAGGTTCAGGCAGAAGAAAGGGAGAGAGGGTATCTGGCAAGGGTATGGGTGGGATACCTGCGCACACAGCAGGGGCTATGGGCCGATCAGCATTTCTATAGAGGCAGATCGAGTGACCCGAGGGAGTGGTGAGAGATGAGACCGGGAGCTGGTAGAGGCCAGGCCTTGCTCAACCTGGTTTTCCTTGTAGACAAGGGCGAGGATGCGGAGGGGTTAGTCTCGGCTCCCAGGTGTCTATCTTGCTATAAACATTTCCAAATGTAGGCTAACCTCTTCCCACGTTACAGAGGACAGAGGATCTAAAGGGCATGAGAAACAAACCAACCAGAGAGAGGGGGCTGTGCAAAGCCCTTGCCGCCATGTTGCAGAAGAGCAGGCGTTGGCAGCCCTCCAGGCTGCATTTTCAAACCAAACACCTGACGAGTGTTTGTACAGCAGCCCGTAACATTTGAAAATACCTTTCTAACTTTGACTTCAGGGTGGGCTGCTTCCTCCAAGATCCAGGCCAATGGACATGCAGTCAACACTTCGATTTTTTTACCTTTGAACCCAAGAGATTTCCAATAGCACAGAAGGATGAAAAGATTTTTTTTTTGCCTTCTCATTATTTTATTTTACTTTCTTCTATTAGTTAAAAAAAAAAAGTCTCAAAAGCAATTTAGTTTTTCAGTGCTTTTTATAAGGAATGTCAGTTAAAAATGTATTGGGATTCAGCTGTAGAGAATAATGGACATTCAAATCTTCAGAAGATTGTTGAGGTCCAAAGACACATACATTAATGCACTGTTCATTACAGTTACGACCTGCCACTATTAATGTAATTTTTGGTGACAGCTTTATTCAGATGTAATTTACATACCATACCACTCACCCATTTAAGTCTGCAATCCAATGGTCTTCAGTATATTCCGAGTTGTACAGTCACCACAAGCAATTGCAGAACATTTTCATCACCGAAAAAAGACTGCTATATTCACACCTTCCCATCCCCCCAGTCCATAAACAACCACTAGTTTACTCTGTCTTTTAGATTTGTCTCTTGGACATTTCCTATAAGTGGGACATATAAGATGTGCTCTTAGCCTAATATTTTCAAGATTCATCCAGGTTGTAACACAGGTCAGTTCTTTCATTCCTTTTTCCGGCTGAATGATATTCCACTGTATGTCTATACCACATACCGTTGATCCACGCATTCGTTGGTAGGCACCTTTTATCTATTGTGAAAAACACTGCTGATGAGTATTTATGTACAAGTTCTTGTGTGGGTAGATGTTTTCAGTTTTTGTGGGCACATACTTAGGAGTAGAACAGCTGGGTCATACGGTGACTGTAAGTTTAATTTTCGGAGCCACCGTCTGATTCCCAGAGTGGCTGTACCATGTGCATAATCCCACCAGCCCGGGATGCGGGGCCTGATTTCCCTACGTCCTTGTCAACACTGGTTGCTTCTGACTTTTGATTCTAGCCCTCCTGAGTGTACACGGTGTCTCCTTACAGTTTTGATTTGCCTTTTCCTGATGGCTCATGGTGTTGAGGATCTTTTCACGTGGTTTTTTTTTTGTTTTTGTTTTTTTGGTATTCGTGTATCTTCTTTGGAAAAAAATGTCTGTTCAAATCCTTTGCCCATTTTTAAGTTGGGTTCTGTGTTGTTTTATTATTGGGTGATAAGAGTTCTTTATATATTCTGGATACAAGTCCCTTGTCAGATATGTGATTTGCCAATATTTCCTCTTGTTCTGTAGGTATTAATATTTTTAAATAAATTCTCAAAAGGTACCTGTGTTCTGTTTCCTTGAGCTCTACTATAGCTTTACAATATCATTTTGTTTTATATTATTTTTGCTTTTTCTTGAAGATAATGTATAAAGCCTGTACGTTTCATACATATTTTATGTTTTATGTGAAATGTATATATCCATTTTACATATATATTTAGATTTGTATCAATTATTTTTGCTCTTTGTTGATAATTTGGAGAGTGGCCAATGATGTCATAAGGGAACAAGTTTAGACTGTTCTAAGTAATATGTTGTTTTTTAATTATTTGTGATTATTAGCAAAATTAAATTTTTTTTTACGGCTCTTTATCTTTTCTAAAGCTACATATTTCCCAGCACATGATTCTATCATTCTTTGTTTCCTCTTTTTCTCTTAAAAAATTGGTAAAGAGTTGGGTCACGGGGTCGGATTTCTCTGCAGCACACGTTTCATCGGTCTGCAAACCCGGCTCGATTCTGTCCTCTGCCGAGGTTGCTCGGCGTGTGTTCTTTGACTCCTTCACGCTCTTGCTTTCAGTGCGGTTTCTTTGAAGAGTGTGTCTACTAGGTAAATAGGCTGGATTTTCAGTGGCATTTTTGAAGAGGCTCTTTATGTTCCTACAGGAGTTTGGGCAAACTGCACAAATAAGGCCACTTAAGAGACTATTCACATGCACCAGGTGTGCGTGGCCACTGTGGATGAATTTGGAAATAGGTGGATTTTTTTCTCCTCCTAATCCTTTGGGGTATGGAAACTCTCTGCTCCGTGTGCTAGAAGTTAGTCACTATTTTGTTTAACAGGAGAAGAAATAAAATATAATTAAGTCAGTAGTTCGTCCAGAGACTCCACAGCGCGTACAGATCCGGTAGCGAGTGCTCATCAGAGTTCACTGCACACAGCTTTCTGGCTCTGTGGGCGGCTCCTCGTTGCTCATGAGTTTGCGAAGGTGATTATGTAACCCCCACTGCCTCCTCCAAACCCATACACACGAAAGGAAGAAAAAAACGTTGGGCAGGAGTCTGTGATGATTTATGTGGATTGCGAAAATGGGCTAGTAGAGTGAATTGAAAGGAAATACACGGAGTCAAAGAATTCTTAAGCAAAGGCGTGTCCTGTCTTTCAGTAAAGCAATAGCCTCTCGTCTAGAGCCTACCAGATGTGAGGTTACGGAGGCAGACAGTGTTGCGGGCAACACTACAGAGAAAGGCAGAGCGGGGCTGTTTTCTCAGGCGCGGGAGGCTGTGTGCGTTTACGGGCAGGAAGGAGAACTGCGCACATGCGAGGGTCTCGGAAGCTGAGCAGGTGCAGGTTGGCACAGAGGCAGGTCACATGCTGAAGAAAAGAAAGACCCCACTTAGAGATATTGGAAGTTGATAGAAGAGTCCAACATGGCCTCGACTGCAGAAAAATGGTTTCAGACAGTTTATATGTTATAAAAAAAATACACGAATAGGCACGGATAGGGAGAAACAGAAGTAAAAGTGATTCCTGGTCCCACCAAGGAAGCATCACAACACGGAGGAGCTGCATGGTCCAGAGCGGCACCAGCCCCACGTGTCTGCTGAGTACTTGCCATGCAGCCCGTGCGACCGGCAATTTGATTGTATTTTATTAATTCGAGTGTGAATAGTGACCTGGACAGCACAGCCGAGAACGGTTCCATCCTCCCAGCAGATGCCACCGGACAGTGCTGCTTTGGAGTGTCTCTTTCTGGGGTTTGGGCCATTTGTTTTAAGGTAGTGGTTCCAGGGAGCATAGCATCTCCTAACTGTTTTTTGTCCCGCGGCCGTCGCTTACTGAGTACCAGCCTGTGGGTGGGCACGGCTTCCCGCCGCCCCCAGTGTTCCCCCCGGACTCCTGCAGTGGTTCCGCCGTTAAATGAATGCTGTTTCTGTCATTTTTGGACCATGCCCTCCCTTCACCGCCCCACCAGCTTCTCTTAGCTGGCCTCCAGTTTTTGGTTTGCAGAAGAACATCCTCTGGCCAGTGAGGGGAGGGGAGAGTTTCTCCCCGCTTTTGTACCAGGCATGGCCTTGGGCTTGGGCGGCCCTGGGCGACTGTGTCGTGCCAGACGCCTCAGGCAGGCTCTCGGGATGTACCAGTCAGTGAAGGACGAAGACCGAGCGCTCGAGGGCGTGTCCTGAGACCCCTCTGTTCCTGCCCTCCATCCATCCCTCCTTTTCCAGGGCCACCCCTGGGTCTGTCTGACCTCCACCCCCCACCCCTCACCTCTGTCATTCAGGTGCATCCACTGCGGGGTCGTCCACCTGACCTTGGCCTTGCTGAAAAGCCACATCCAGGAGAAACACTGCCAGGTTTTCCACAAATGTGCTTTCTGCCCCATGGCCTTCAAGACTGCCAGCAGCACCGCGGACCACAGCGCCACCCAGCACCCCACCCAGCCCCAGAGACCCTCCCAGTGAGTGCAGCTTCAGGGCCAGCAGGCCTGCGGGGCGGAGCCGAGAGGCCTGGGTGCTGGAGGGGGAGGTGTTGGGGCCAGCTGGGAGCCGGGCTAGTGGCAGAGATGTCTGGAGTCCCCCGAAGACATCCCGAGGCTGGGGCGTCCGCGCACTGGCTCAGAGAGAGCGGAGGCGGGGCGGAAGGCCGTGCGGTGCTGCTGCAGAGCCTTGGCCGCCTCACGCCCCAGGGCTTGTCTCACAGGCTCATGTATAAGTGCTCCTGTGAGATGGTCTTCAACAAGAAGAGGCACATCCAGCAGCATTTTTACCAGAATGCCAGCAAGGCGCAGGTGGGCGTCTTCAAGTGCCCCGAGTGCCCGCTCTTGTTCCTGCAGAAGCCGGAGCTGATGCAGCACGTCAAGGTGGGCAGCCCCGGGGAGGAGGCCGGGAGGAGGGCGCATGCCTCGGGCCGGGCCGGGGGTCGGACTCTGTGCCTCTTTCCCCCCGACTCAGTCAGTAATCGCTCTCCCCATCCCCAGAGCACCCACGGCGTTCCCCGAAACGTGGAGGAGCTGTCAAGCCTCCAGTCTTCAGCAGACACGTCCTCCAGCCGCCCCAGTTCTCGAGTTCCCACGGAGCCTCCCACCACCGGCGTGGCTGCGCGGGGCAGCTCCCTGCCATCTGGCCGCTGGGGCAGGTCCGAGGCCCATCGCCGGGCCGAGGGCAAGCCCCGGCTGAGGAGCGCCGGCTGGACCTGCCAGGAGTGCCAGGAGTGGGTGCCTGATCGGGAGAGCTATGTGTCCCACATGAAAAAGAGCCACGGTCGGGTAAGTGCGTCCCGGGGTCACGGTGCCACGCCACACCCTCTGGACATCTCCACTGTGGGCTCGGCGCCCCCGTATGTGGCTGACCCCTGAGGGTTCTTGGTGCGTTGGGCAGGGTGGCCGCTGCAGATTCCGAGGTCTGTGCGGCGTCCTCCTTCCTGCCTCTGTCGCCTGAGAAGGAAGGTGAGCCCAGAACTATCCTACGGTTCAGACGCGTTGCTCTCCGTGGCCACCCGCAGGCGCTGAAGCGGTACCCGTGCCGGCAGTGTGAGCAGTCCTTCCACACCCCCAGCAGCCTGCGCAAACACATCCGCAACAACCACGACACCGTCAAGAAAGTCTACACGTGTGGGTGAGTCTCCGGAGCGGGAAGCCGGGAGGCCTGAAATCCAAAAACTCTGTCTGTGGCACCTCGGGGCTTCTCTCTGCTCTGAGATCAGGGGTCAAAGGCGAGAGATAAGCAAGTTTCTAAATGGGAAATGCTGTGGCTAGGTCAGAAATTGGGGCAGGCCGGAAACCCGCTTCCAGAACCTGGGGGCCCTGGAGCCCTCCCCCTTCCTACATCCCACGCCCCGGGCTGCGCTGCCAGACGTGGCGAGGGGCTCTGAGGTCCGTGAGGAGCGGCAGTGTGACCGCGAGCCCCGGAGGCACCGCCGGCCTGGGCTGCAGCACTTTCGCCGCCTCTCACGCTGAGCCCCAGCCCCACACTTGCACCTCCGGGCAGCGATATCAGGCAGTGCAGGGCAGATCATGACCGAGGGCCAGTACAATTACCCTGACTTGCTGTTGTCTGTTACTTTGCCTGGCTTGCTGGCTAGGTTTCCCTGGGGAGTACCCAGGGCCCCCCGAGCCAGCCCGAGAACCGCCCGGCCCGCTCTCCGTCTGCACTGGACTCTCGCCCTGGAGCTGGCAGCGGTGCTCCCTCCGCCCGCCTGCTGGGCCACCTGGCTCCGCTGGGCTCCGCAGCCCGTCCTCTCACATGATTGCTTTGGCGATCCCCTTGCAGGTATTGCACAGAGGACAGTCCCAGCTTTCCTCGGCCCTCCCTCTTGGAGAGCCACATCAGCCTTATGCATGGTATCAGAAACCCAGATTTGAGCCAGACGTCCGAAATCAGACCTCCAGGCGGACATTCCCCTCAGGTGAGCAGGGGCTCCCGCTGCCGTAGCAGCGTGCTCAGCGAGGCCTGGGGCTGGGGGGGCGCGGGGAAGGCCACAGGGCACCCGTTTGTCATGGTGGCCAGGCCTCAACCCGCAGTGACAACTTCCCTCGATGTGGGCGAGCCCCGTGGGAGCCACGTGGGACTGCACACAAGTAAAGGACAGGGACAGAAAGACCCGCGCGGCAGCCCATCGGCCTCTCGTTCCTGCGGTCTCCCTGTCGCTGTGAGCCTTTCCTTGGGGGTGGGCTGCACTCTGCGGCATGCATGGGGGAGAGTCCACGCACACCTGCCTGCTTCGGTCTCAGTCCTAGGAGTGGCTGTGGGGGCGGGTGCTGTCAGGTGATGGTGGCCGCACTCGGCCGACCCCCCACCCCTAGTTATGGGAGGAGCCACACTCTGACCCTGCTCTCCTGCACCCTTGGGCTGCGCCCGTTCCCGTTTCTGGGGAACTTTGGGGGCCCCCTGGCCTCCCTCCTCACTGTAGCTCCTTCCCGCCCCATGTAAGGGGCTGCTCCTCGAATGTCCTGGCATGTCTGGGACACACTGAGAGCCCCTGGAATTCCAGGACATTCTTTCTGGGCTACTCAGAGAAGGGCTCTCACTGGTCACAAAGGCCCGTTCACATTCGGCAGGTGGGGTGTCAGTGGGCGTTTTGGCAACATCTGTCTGTGATTAAAGTGCACCCCCTCCTCTTCCCTCCAAAAGCACACACCCTTTGATGCAGCAGGTCAGCCTCTTGGATTTATCTGTCAGGTATCTCTGGCCTTGGGCACAAAGAAGTGTGTTAAGGATGTTCACTGCAGCACTGTGTGCGTGACAGAGATGGAACTCGCCTAAAGTGTCCGCCTGTGGGGACTGTCCATCCCCACGGTGGGCTCGTGTGCCGCTGTTAGGAAGGCGCGGCCTCTGGCTAAGCCTCATGGAGACAAGCGCCAGTCATGTTGTACCTCGAAAGGGGCAGGGCAAAGAAAACTGCATGTTATCATTTCGTAAAAGACAGCAGTTTTATTTACGTACACAAGTAGAATGTCTCTCGGAGGAGCCACAGAGCCCGGGTGATACAGTGTTCTCTGGAGATCAGGCCTGGGGCGTGGGCCGGAGGGACGTAATCTCCATGCCCTTTCTGTATCTTTGGAATGTTGTGCCACCAGCATGCATTACGTTAAAAAAGAAAAGAAAAAAAAGAATTCTAACAAGCCAAAGCTAGGCCAGCAGTCAGGACCGGGGTGGCCCTGGCCTGGGTGGAGGCCCTGTGAGGCCTGGGGCTGCACTGGTTGTGTCTGGGGGCTCCTGTCTCAGGCTCGGCTTGGCCTGGACTCGGCTCACGCTGTGTCCCCTTTCAGGTGAACCATCTGAAGAGACGGGTCAGCGGGGCGGCGGACGCTCCAGGCACCAGCAACGGCGTGACCGTCTCCTCCAACAAGAGGCACAAGTCCCTTTTCCAGTGCGCAAAATGCAGCTTTGCCACAGACTCGGGGCTCGAGTTTCAGAGCCACATACCTCAGCACCAGGTGGACAGCTCCACGGCCCAGTGTCCGCTCTGCGGCCTGTGCTACACCTCCGCCAGCTCCCTGGGCCGCCACCTCTTCATCGTCCATAAGGTGAGAGAGCAGGAGGACGAAGAGGAGGCAACGGAGGAGGCAGAGCCGGAGGAGGGCTCCGGGGAGGAGGCGTCCATGGACACCAGGGAGAACGGACTGGAAGAATGTACTGGCGAGCCTTTGTCAGGCGACCCAGAGGCCCGAAGATCGCTGGGCCCAGCCCCTGCGGAGGACGGTGCCCACGAGGCTCAGAGTCAACCACAGGCCTCTCAGGATCAGGACAGCCACCTACCGTCCCCTCAGGTGTGACCGGAGGCTCGGCGGTGTGTGCGGCCGGGTGTGCCGTGGCGTGCTGCGCGGGCTGTGCGAACAGCGGGGAACAAACCGCTCTGCCCGGTGGGAGTGTGGCAGGCTGGGCCCTGGGGCGGTGTCTGCCCTGAGCTGCGGGTGCTGGGTGTGCCCGGCCCCAGGGGCTGTGGGTGGCCCAGGACCCTCACACATCTGAATTTACTTCTGTTATTTATGGCTTTGTGCTGCTTCTCAGTACCCCAACTCTTGTCTGTATCCGTCCACCTCCAGGCCGCTTCAGTGGCCCGAGCCCAACGCTGCCCGCTCCGCTTGAAACCCCTCAGCGGCTGCGCTCTTTGGAGAAGCCCCCCCCACCCGCTGCCTCCAGCCAGGGGCTCCTCCGAGCTGCCCGGGAGGTCGGAGCCAGAGAAAGGGGGCCGGGAGGGCTGGCGCTTTCCCTCTTGGAGCGCTTGGCCCGGCCCGGCCCGGCCTTGCCTTGGTCACCTTGCCCTTCCTTCCTGTTTTCTCTGACTCTTTCCCCCCAAAGTAGTCCCGCAGGGTTGACTGGCTCACCCTGCCCGTGCGGGGGGGAGGAACGTCGGCAGCACAACCCTGTCGCAGCCTGGGGCGGGGCGGGCGGGCAGGCAGGCAGGCGCGAGAGCAGACCCCTCCGAAGGGGCGTGCGGCCTGTCCTGCTGCCCTGCCTTTCCTGACGAGGGGGGTGTGGGACACACAGACGTTGGGACGTTTGTATTCTTCCTCCTGTGCCATTAGAGAGGCTGCTGCCCCCGGCAGGCCAGCCCCGTCCTCTTGGTTACACTCATGTTGCTCAGACTATATTTCAAATAAAAAATTCTTCTTACCATGCAGGTGGGCTCTTGTATTCCTCTTCAGGTGAGCCTGGCCCCACCCTGCTCCACCCAAGGGTCTCTCCCGACGTCCCTCACTGTCCCCCGTTTCTGAGGGAGAACAGTGTCCCCAGTGTCCGAGGAAGGTCCTCTAGATTCTGGAGCTGTGGTCAGGAAACCAGGAGCCTGGGACGTCTCCCTTCTCTAGAAACATTCTGATGGGGAGAGGGGAGCCTTCAGCGCTGGTCAGCAGTCGCCTCCAGGGCCTCCCCTGGGCCAGCGGCCTCGGCTTCAGGGCCTACTGACGTTCTCTGGGCACCTCCATCTCTCTTCCAAATCGGTTTCAACCTCAGGGAGCCCTTCCCTGGAGGGAGGAATTCTGTAGTTTTCTTGCAGTGTTCAGGAGGCCTTGGTATGACTGCCACCGCCACAAGGAGCTTGGGTGCGACAGAACTGGGGTCAGACACTCGGGGCTGGGCCGTCTTCTCACTGGGGGCAGAGTCAGGGCCTAACCCAGCACGAGGAGGCAAGCGGTGCGGGGGGTGTCCTCTGACCTCTGACCCCGGGGGCTCCTGCGGCCCTGCCTGGGTGGGATGTGGGGCCAGGCCTGACAGGATGCAGTGCAGTTCAGGTCTCTCAAGGGAGGCACTGAGTATCAGTTATAAATTATTAAGTCAGATAAACATGCTTGACCTTTTCACAACTGAAAACAAAAATCATTTTCCTCCTCTATCAAATGCCACCTTTTCAGTGGATCCACTCACGGCGCTGGGAAAGGTTACTGCCTGCCTCAGCTTCAGAGAGACTTCGCTGGGTGCATAGTGGCTGCTCTCCCCAGGGGGCCGCGAGGGCGGGCTGGGCCTGATTCGGGCTGCCTTCCAGGCCAGGGCTGGCTCCAGCGCCGACGGCACCCCTCTCCTCGTTCCAGTCTCAGGGTGCTCACCCTGCACCCTGGTTCCATTCACGGGAAGAAATTAGAGAGGAGTCTGGTAGGAAGGTTTGAAAGGGATGGATGAGTCTCTTCGTGCCCAGAAACAGTGGTAACCTGAGTGAGGGGCGCGGGGAGGTGGTGACATGGCAGATTGGACCACTGGTCCTGACCCCAGATCCATCCCTCCTTCCTGGGAATGGCATGGAGTGGAAGGGATGCTGAGCCTCTGATCCCGGGGACACCCGGGACACAGCCGGGGGTCTGCCCTTCGCCTGCTCTGGACGCAGCCCCTAACTTCATGGGCCCCGCCCCTTCACAACAGGGGTCCTCATTCCCACCCAACTCGCTTCGGCTTTTGTGAGATGACGGGTTGGAAGCATTTTCTGGTTTGTGAAACACTAATGGGAGGGGTGTGTGGTGCGACCCCAGGGCACAGCGGGGAGAGGGCCTCTCGCCTGCCGCTCAGGCTTGGTTGCTAACCGTCGGTTCTGGTCGGCCTGGGACCGCCTCTCCGTTACTCAGGAACCCTGACGACAGCAGCCCGGCCAGCCCTGCCCGTGAGCTTAGGAAGCACTTCCCACTGTGTCCCCTGTACTCCTCACTCGGGTCTCCCAGGTGCCCTCCATTGTACAGAGAAGACAGGCGCAGAGCAGTCCAATCCCTTGCTGGGCCACCCATAAGCGATGGTACCAAGTCAAGCTTGTCTGGTTCTCGAGTCCTTGGTGTCGGCCGCTGTGCTGCCTTAGTCACCCGGCTGCTGTGGCTGGCGGCCAGCACGTCCAGACATCCACCTTCCTACCTCCCCTGCGGCTGGAGCGCCAGGTTCTCTTAGGAGTCAAACCGTGCCTTGTCGCCCGAGGATGGCCCTGCCTTTTGCTTGTGACAAAAGCACAAGCAGTGTCTCTATGACCTTTGACTCTCACATGGATTTCGCCTGCCATGTGAAGAGCATCCTTTCGCAGGGGGGGGGGGGGGGGCGGGGGAGGCATCCCAGGAAAGCCCGCCTGGCCCTCACCGGGGACATGGTCCCCTCAGGGCCCAGTATCTTTTGATCTTTCTTTTTTTTAAAGGCGTCTTTTAAGGGTTGTGCTATCATTCGTTATCAGAAAATGCTTGCTGTAAGCACTTACCTGCACATTCGCTGGAGTGCTCTCCTGATCAAGTAAAACAGATAACATTCCCACCCTTCTAGAAACTACAACTTACTACAGGCTGAGGCTTGACAAATGACTAGTATTTATTTTCCAACTGCTTTATCTCTGTAAAATGATATGCGAGTGACTAGAAGCTCATTGAGTGTGTAGAAAGAACTGTTCCCTTAACTTATGTAAACAGTCTGGGTTTTGACAACTTAACACTTGTGGCTCAGCAAGTTCAACACACTTCGCTCCCCCCACCCAAAAAAAGGACCCTCCCCCACCTTCCCCCCCCCCCGCCCCCGCTGTTCACCACTGCATATTCAGCACGGAGCACACCTTATTTTACTTGTTTTTCTTTAGGTTTGTTGTGTGTGTGTGTTTTGAAAAATTAATACATATACATGGTAAGACATCCAAATAATACAAAAAGAGTATATACAATGAAAAAGAAAGTAAGCTTCCTAAGGGAGGTCAGCCTCCCGTTCCCCATCCCCTCTCTGAGTCGATTGCTGTTATCTCTATCTTGTGTATCCTTTCTGAGCAATTCTATGCATTTACAAGTTTATAAATATGTATATTTATATATCTATTTTTTAATACAAATGATAGCATTCTACACACAGTGTTCTGAAGCTTGCTTTTTTCACTTGTATAATGGAGGTTGTTGCAAATTCATCTGCGGGGGGGGGGTCAGTCTAATTCTTTCAAAGCCCCTAGCACAGTTCTTGCATTCATGAGTGGTTCAAAGAGTGTTTGAGTAAGTGAATGAATGAATGCATGAATGGAAGAATCAGATTTTCTTAGGGTCCGATCTGAGCAAGACAGGACCTTCTAGATTCTAGAACATTCCCCCCTGCCCCCATGTCTTCTCTAAGGGAGTCAGGTCACTGTTGGCCTTTTCTACCACTTGCCAGCAGCCTTAGGACCTGGCAGCAAGGGTCCCAGGTCCCAACTACGGACGGGATTTCTGTGAGGTCCCTATTTAAAATCACGTTTTCCTACTGGAAATGATATAGAATAATCAGAGTAAATTTTAAAAACTGCACATTTATAATCCCGTCTTACCTTTGCCGTTTTCATTTTTGTGTATCACTTTTCAATTCTTGCTCACTTTATAGCCAAATTTACAGCATGATTATGACAGCGGTTCACATCGAACATTTGTATACGACAAACATAATTTTCACATTCATTCTCTTGTTTTGCCTCATACTAAGCCTATCGGACAGATACTGTTATTATTCTTTGGGGGTGCAGAGTGGTTGAGTAATGTCCCTAAAGCCACAGAGTAAGGGGCAGAACCGGGACTCGCTCAGGTATGTGCGAATTCTGTTCACGGCACTGCCCCAGATTTCGCACCCTGCCTTTTCCCACTTGACGCCGTGTCTGGACATTTTTGTGTTTCTCCACAGTCTTTTAATCATCTTTTTCAACACTGGTAATCATTTTCAAATCCGCATAATTTACTTCAGTTCCTGTTTACATCAGAATGTCCCACCTCGTCACTGCAGGGGATAGTGCGGGCCAAAGAGCTTCTTACTTCTGCAGAAGTATTTCATCAGTATTGATCCGTTTCTCTGGACTGAACTAACTCACTGGCGGTGTGATAAGAGTGACGAAATCAGAACAGAGGTTCCAGTCTGGGCTCTGTAACTAAGTCATTTGATCTCTCTTGGCCTTGGTTCTTGCATCTGTCAAATGAGGGCGGGGGGAGGGGGGTAAATCTCTGGGGAGCTGGAGCCTGGCTAGATTTTATCTTATTAGTTCTTGTGTATGTTTACATTAAAATAGAGGACACCTTCTCAAAGGCAAGAACTCTTACTGAACTTCCTTTTTCTGTTTACCTTATTTATTGGCTTAAGCGATATCGAAAAATGGAAAAGATCCCTCCTACTCTGCCCCCTCTCCCCAAGCCAATATCCCTTTTATTTGCATTTATTTATATAGCCATTTGCATGAGATTCATGCTTTTTCAGATAGAGTTCTAGCTCTTTTATGAGCGCCTATGTCTTTGGGCTTTTTGTCAAGCCTTTCCGAGTTTGAACTGTTTACTTGACGATTCCCAAACATCTTCCTTCTGATACCCAGGTCTCTTTTCAGTAGGGACCTAGGTCCAGATGAATTTTCGAGCTAGTTCAGTGTGTCCTGCATTGGCCTATCAAAGTGCTCTATGTTTAAAAATAACACTAATTATTATTTGCAAGTTTAGTTTATAGTGCATGAATACTAACAGATCGACAAGTGTGTGATTGAGTGCATGCGATGTGGGACAAAACGATATGATAAAGCCGTTTAAGTCAATTCTAACTGGGAAGAGCCCTCCATTCTGGAGAGTGCTCAGGTGACAGGGGATCAGCAGCCCCATTGCGTGTCCTGCACACGGTATTGTTTCTATACAATAGAGAGTCTAAAAGCGACTCGATCTTCTAAAACTTAATCCCACAGCCTTTGCTCTCTTTTCTGAGAAAATGGGGATCGTTGATTTTGCCTTTGATGTTTGAAGAGAGGGATTAAGTGGCTCTTCCATCTGGCTCTCACTGAACTGGCAAGCTCCTCTGTTTCTAGGCCTCCCCTTTCGGTGACAGCCCAGGGCCCACCGCATACGCTTCCTATTTTCCTCTGGGGTTTTCTAGTCCTGAGACCAATTTGCTTGGGGTTTTGCCCTGAGACTGTTGGGCTTTGGTACCGGAGCAGGAGGGTGGATTCTGTTTTCTAGGAAGCTCTTTGACTAAGAAGAAGAGCCCTTATTTCTACCCTAGACTGGTTCTGGGTGGGCCTTGAATATGATTTTTAAACGAGGACAAGGAGAGGACACGTGGAGAGGGACTGGGGAGGTTAGGGTTAGGAAAGGGTTAGAAAGCCTCCGAGACAGTGCTTGGCACCTTGTCCCAGAAACTGGCGAACGACAGTTCTTCTGGGCCTTAGGACTCAGCCCCCTTTCCTCTCGGGTGCTGGGAAATGGAGGCTGAAGGGGTGAAGGAGGCTCAGTTATCCCAGAGGCATTTATGAAGCCCGTATCTGTGCTAGATAATGGAGGGAAGATACATACCCAGAGGACTTGTGCCTTCCTTCCTAGGCGACTGAGGTCACCCGCCGGCGTGCGGGTTTGTCCAGGTGCGAGGCGGGGGTCAGGGCTCAGTCGCCAGGCAGACTGAGCCGAGTCCTGTCCCTCCTGGCTCTCTCGGCCTCCAGCCTCGCAGGGCTTCGCCTCGCACCCTCCACGCCGCTCCTGGGGAACTTGGGCACCTTCCGCTTCGCTCCAGCCCAGAGCCCCAGCCTCCCTGTCTGCAAAGCCGGCGGGGAGCAGGGCACGAAGGCAGGCACCTCCGGGCCCCGCGACGCGGAGCCCCAGCCTCCCAGGGCCGTCTGCGCCCCTGCCCCGACGTTGGGTGGCCCCGCGCCGGACGCTGAGCGCACGCACGTCGGGCGTCGCGGCGGGAGCCCCCGCGCACCGCGGTTGGCCCCTCAGACAGGGCCTGGCGCCCCCGCCCCGTGGCGTCTCAGAGGCCTCGGCGGGCCGGCAGGGGGAGGGACAGCAGCAGGTGACAGCCGGCCTCGGGCTATAAATAGGCGCAAGTCAGCGGCTGGCGAGAGCGGCGACCAGCGCGCGGGGCTGGAGGGCGCGCGGGGCCAGGACAGGGCGGCGGTGGGCCAGGCGGCAGCATGGGCTCGCGGTGGGTCCCCAGCCGAGCCTGGGGCGCGGGGGGTCGGGCCGGGGCCCGCGGCCACCGCGAGGACGATGGGCCCGTGTGGACCCCCAGCCCCACCAGCCGCAGCTACCTGCTCAGCGTGCGGCCGGAGACCAGGTGAGTGGCGGGCTGGGGGTCGGCGGGCGGCGCGTCGGGAGGACGGGGGCCCCTGAGAGGCCTCGGGTGGGGTCCAGGCCTCTGGAGGCCCGCAGTGGCCCTTATGTCCCCTCACGGCCCTTACAGTTCCTCATGGCCCCTCACAGCCCGTGGGTCTCCGGCCTTGCGCTGCTCGACGCTGCTCAGGAGGAGAAAGGGCCTCCCGGGGGTGACTTCCGAAGGGCCCGCAGGCTTCCTTATCTCGCCTGCCTTGCCCCCGCCCCAGGGCCCCTCACCCACTGGCTACTCCTGGGCCTCGGATGCCACAGTGAGCGATAAGAAAGCCAGAGCGGTGCCTGAAATTCCTCCGGGCTGGAAGGGAGGGGACAGCTACGCCAGGTGGGGGGCAGGGAGTGGGGACATGGGGGAGCGCCGGGGGGCTGCCCAGAGTGGGGGCTCTCAGCTGGGGCGGGGCTCACTGGGAGGAAATAAACCTATGCCAGGGAGGTTCTTCCTCAGGGCCCAGGGCTCCGGTCTCCCCAGGGTCTTTGTGGGGGCTGGTGAGGGGATAGGGTGGCAGGGTGGGCTGGGGTGCTGGTCGGCCCTGCCTGAAGATTCCCAGCCTGTGGCTCTGAGGGAGCCAACGGCCCTGCCCAGTTTGGGGGAGCGGGCTGCCAAGGGAGGGGCCGAACTGATGTGCCCTTGCCTCCTTCCTCGTCCAAGAGTTACAGAGACGTGGGTGCTTTGTTTTAGGGCCTGGGTTATCCCAAATATAGAGACGCAGAGATAGACAGTGGAGAGGCAGACAGGCACTGGGAGGCACACCAGACACACAGGGACACGTGCATTGCCTTGGAGACGGACACTTCCTGGCCCCTCTGGGCAGCGCGTTTTGCCTCCAGCTCCCGAGCATATTTTCCAAAGGAAACTGTGAAGGTTGGCTGTGGGAAGAGCGGTGGTGTCACAGCCCCAGAATTTGGCTTGTGGTAGAGCAGAAAACAGCCACTTGGAGAAGCTGTCTGGACACCTCTTGTCCTCCGTTCCTGAAACAGCACAAAAATAGGCATCAAGGACATTTAGGAAAAGTCCCAGGCACTTCCTCGTGAATTGGCTGAGTTCTGTTGACCTTGAAGTCGGAAAAGTTCAAATGTAACCGGAACCGGTTTCTGCATAAAACTCGTCAAATGGTGTCACATGTCTGGGGCAGGACCGAGGGCTTGTGTTAATGACTGAGTCAGACTGGACAAGGCCCCTTGCTCCCAGCTACTGGCTCTGCGAAAAAACTGAAATGAAATTTGGCCATTTATTCCATCCAGTCCGTGGTGGAGCCGACTGCCTCGTAGGAGGAGCCTCACACTTGTTTCACACTTATTACAGGGACTTTGCTGAGCTTTGCCTCCCTTGTCTGGCCTTTGTCAAGACCAGCAGAACCAGTAGGAGAGAGAAACTGGGCCTCTCTTGGAGAGAGCAGCCATGGAGGGAGGGAAGAAAGGGTGGCTTGAAAACCAGACAGAACGGGGAGGGCCAGGAATCGGGGCCGTTAGGGAAAAGACAGGAGGGTGGACACCGTGTTCACGCTCCAGCCACCTGGCTGAGCAGGAGTCTTGGCCCAGGGCTAGTGTCTTGCCCACTTGCAGGTGGGAGCTGTGAACCTGTCATTTTCCTCTCTGAAGTAGCTGATTCTCTCCCTCTACTTCCCCAGGGAAGAAATCCAGACCCAGCAAAGGAGAAATCTCTCGATTCTGAGGAGAAAGGCAAAGGAAGTTCATGGTCAGGAAAGAATGGAGTTGGCCAGTGCCTTGGAACCATGGGAGGTTCTTCCCATGCTGCCTCGGGAGGATTTTTAAAGCTCTGAGCAAAGGCAGCTGCGTCCTTGCTTTCTTCTTTCCATCTTTTCTGGAGCGGCAGTTCCTTCTGGGGGTGGGGCAGGACCCTTCATGTTTGAAAAATGCACTTCCCTCCCTCCCCTCATTCCTCTTCTCTCTTTCTGTGACTTCCTTCTTTCCATGAAACAGTTGTTGAATACCCACCGTATGCCGAGCACTGTGCTAGGGGCTATATAGAGGCTACAAAAAGGGCTAGATTTGAAGGCTAGGGGTATCAGGATTTAGTTGAGCAGAAGGAAGGAGGGAGGGCTTTCCGAGCAGTGAGGTCCTGAAAGTGAGGGCTCAGAGGCCAGGAAATGGGATGTGTCATGCCAGTTAGGGACACGCCTGGTTACAGTCGAACTTGCATGCTGGGAAGCAGAGAGCCATGCTTGTCATGGGAGCGTGAATAGAAGGAGGGCCTTACATGCCCAACTGAAGAGTAGAAGCTCAGTATAATACGTAGTAGGGGGACTACAGCATTTCTTTTTCAGAGGAGGGGTGTGGTATGGGGGCGAGGGAGACGGGGTTCGAGATGGTCGTCCGATACGGAGCCCCGAGGGTCTAGGTGAGAACACAAGAGCAGGAGCGGAGAGAAAGGGAGAAAAGAGGGCCAAGGAGTGCTCACTGACTGAACCCGGAGGCTGGAGGAGAGAGAGGAGTCTGGAATGGCAGGTTCAGAGCTTCAGAGTTTGGGTGAGTGCTGGTGGCAGCCACCAAGCCACTGGAGCAGCAGCCATGTTTTCAGTTAGAGGATGAGTTTGGTTTCTTGGTCATGAAGAGATAGGCTGTGGGCGGAGCTTTCTTGTGCTTAGAGCTGTAGACCGTGAGTGCCACTGAGCAGGCCGGGCTGCTGATCAGGGAGGGAGAGCTAGTCCCATGGTAGGAGCGGCTGCAAGGAGTGAGTGTGGATGGGGCGGCCCCCGACACCCCGAAAAACTGTGGGCGACAGCAGCCCTCCACCCCACCAGAGGTATTTGTACTAGGAAGGCGGAGGAAGGGGTAAAAAGTTGGCTCACATCAAGTGGGCTGGATCTCCGCTAATGGACAGCCCTAGGTGGGCCCTCTCACCCCACAGTGGCCTACGGAGCCCTTAGCTGGTGTCCCCTCTCAGCTGCCCCGGGGGCAGGAGGGATGTTCAGGGCTCTCGGCGACATGGGCCTTGTGCTGGTCTGACTGAGCTGGGTGCCTCCTGGCTCCTGCTGAATTAACCGCTTGGTTTTTCCTCCCTCTTCTTCACTGTCCCAGCTGGTGTGCCTTGTGTGGCCTCTTTAACCGAACTTTTAACACATTAATGGGTGTTCTCCAAGCCACCTGTCATGTCTCCTTCCCAGCTTCTTAGGGGATTTCCAGGAATGGGGGCTCATCCCCCTAAAAGGCTGAGAGTCGAAGCAGGAGCGGCCCGCAGGCTGGAGCGCTGCAGGCTCAGGAACCGTGCCAGGCGGCTCTCAGCCCCGCTCTTGGGGGCAGTGACTGAATTGCCTGGGACACACCTTTCTCAAAGGGCAGCCCCAACAGGCCTCCTTTCTGCCTAACCGTTTCCCTGGACTCTGCTGCATTTAACAAGCTCTTGGTTTCAGATAGACTGGTGTGCAGCGGGGAGGCCACTTGCTAACCGGAGCAGGCCAACTAAGACAGCTGGTCCCTTTTAATAGAAAGGCCTCTGGGCCCCAGATGATGGCCGTTTAATACTTTGCAGACTGTTGTTGATTTCGCCTCCTCCTCTCCTTGCTTTTTTGGCCTAATGATTCCATTTGCTGTTTTTGCTTAGCTTATCAAGCAGCCGGTTGTCTCACCCCAGCTCTGGAAGGTAAATGCACATTGCATTGCGTTTCTCTGACTGCTTTTCTCTCGGGTATGGACACTGAAGGGCCTTTGGGTGACGCTTGTGCCCTCACCAGGCTGCATGGGGTGAGGGGAGGGCTGGCGGGTGGGAGGCAGAGGGCGTGAGAGGTACTCACAGGAGCATGCGTCTCACAGGGGCCGCACTTGGTGCTTGCATGGACCATTTGAAAGGGGTGCAGGGGCCAGAAATAGGCAAGGGTTCTGAGATGCCTGCACTGTATTTCTGCGCCCCTGGGAGAGGCCTCATGGGACCAGAACAGGTGACCCACTCTTTCATCCCAGGTTTTCATGGTTTTTGTAACCACATATCTAGGTGTGACACCCCATTATCTATCTTCTAATCAGGGCTACTGCCTTATTTTTTTTTTTTTTCAGTCCTTTAAGTTCTCCTTCCACCTCTCAGTCTGCATTTCCCTTTCCTTTGGCTCCTCTGCACCCCTGCAAGCTGTGATCTCTGTGAGGTCAGGGGACACCGTGTGAGAGTATTCCCACGTTGGCTTGTTCTCTGAATCCGCTGCAGAGCCATGGCAGGGCCTGAGCAGGCCACTGATGAGGCTTGCCCCGTGAATGACTGTCCTCTTGTCTCCCAGGCTGGGGACAGCTCTCTGTCGCTGGCTGGACTATTATAATCAAAGTTGGGAGCATTTCCTGTTTGGTCCTCACCTCAGACTGGTGGATTTGGGGAGAGCTGGCTACAGTTTCTTTGCACAGAGAAGGATCTCTTAAGTAGCTAACTGGTCTCAACAGCTAATAATGTCTACAGACGTGCATAGCACCTACCACGTAGGTTTCCTTTGATGAGGAGAAGAGTGAGGAACCTTGTTCTCCATGGGAGAAAGGCTATTAACAACTAGTTCAAAGTGGAGCATGGTCAGTACTGAAAGAGAGATGATCTCAGAAGCTCATTTAAAGGGAGGTAAAATAACCAAACCCAAGGGCAAGGTTGGGTTCCTTTGAACATCACGTAAGCCAACGACCCTGGTGTTCTCTAGAGAACACATGATTGGGCTGTGATAGCCTTATGAGGTCACGGAGTTGGAAGGACTTGGAGGTGTCGGGGTGGGAACAGACCATTTCCAGATGTGTGGACTTCCTGGCTTTCCCGGGGCCTGGAAGCAAGCAGCACAGTGACTCCATCCCATGTCCAAGTGGTTTGGAGGATGAGGACAGGCGGCCTGTGACCCTCGGTGGAACGCAGCCCTGTGTGCAGTTACTGTCCCCCGACATGCCCCCAGGCCCGCCCCTCGGAGGAGCTGTCATTCCAGGCCTGCCTCACCGCGGTTACTGTGATTTTCCATTATCAACATTGTTTTCTCATCTAGCTTAGGACCTAGTGTGGAGCATTTGAGATGAGTGCCTTTTCCCATTGAAAACAGGTAATGAAGCGAAATAACTACCTGTTGCTGAATATCCGGCATGAGCCCTTGTCTCTGCAAATTTTCTTGAATCTTGATTTCCACGTTTTCTCGCTTACCCAGTAGTTGAAATTATTTTCTTAGACTTGCTCAAGCAGCTTAATCCCTAAGAGCCTCAGCTGAATATTAGATCCAGGCTCATGTTCGTGAGTCAGGTAGGATTCAAGCTAAGCAGGGAGGGCATAATTAGGAATGTTTTGAATTAGTTGCAAAATCACAGAAGTGTGATTGCTTTTGGCATGGCAGTTTTCTCTGGAAACTGTTGGTTGGGATTTAGTATTCCCCAAGGTCAGACATTACTGTGAGTATGAGAGCAGCAAGAAATATTTTCAGCTGTTACATTTCCTGAGTGTCAGGGGTGGATGGATGGTCCACGTCCGGAGGGCCCCGCTGTTGCCGAGTGGATTGAAGGGGAGGGAAAAGACACTTAGGGACAGGTGAGGTGTAGGTGCACGTGTTCCAGGGAGCGGCCGGGAAGTCCACCTGCACGCCTCGCTTGAATGTTCAGCCGTGTGAGAGGCCAGGACCCCCTTTCTAGGTCGTCTTTGTCCTCCCTGAAGGCCCAGACGTCACCATTCCTGCTCAGAAGCCAGGGCTGCACCCCTGTCTGTCCAGAAGTCTTCCTGGGGTGTAGTCTTTCGCCTCAAACTCAAGTGCGGGATGACACCCACAGCAAAGACGAGTCGAATGTGTGTGTCCCGCAGACTCCCACCCCGCCCACTCCTGGTGCAGAGGTTGTGAGAAGACCCCCACTGCCTCTGGGTGACCACCCCTCCTCCGAGGCACAGAGAAAGGCAGCTTTGAATGATCTGTCTTTCTCCTCCCAGTTGCCCCTGCTTCTCTTCACTTTACCCTTCACAGTCCTCCCTGCTGCTCATAATAGGGCGTGTGAATGTGGAGGGGGGGAGGGCTGGGCACGGCTTGTGCACCATACAACCTGGCTCTGTGGTTATGCTTCACGCCTGGGGACGCATTGGAGTCTCTGCTGGCCCAGGACAAGCCTTGGCACGGCACTCTGCTTCCTGTGCCCAGGAAGCAGAGGGCTGCGAACGCTGAGCGGTGTTGATGAGTCTGTGCTGGACTCAGTGTGCCCACAAATGCCTCTGAATTCTGGGAGGTGGACTGTCACAGGGAACTAAGAGTCCCGTCTGGAGTTTGGCAGCCCTGCTGGTGGGTCCTGGAGCTGCCAGCCATGTGTTCATGTGAGCATATGGCCTCCAGGAACGGAGCAGGGGGCCGCGGCTGCTTCCCACGGCAGGCCCCCAGCCCTTTTTAGGGTCAGAATTCATCTGAGTGTTTCTTTTCCAATACCCCCAGGAATGTAGTTTAACCCCTGCCATTGGCTGGCTTAGTCTTTGTCTGATACGGGTCTGTGCTCACAAACACAGGGTTTTTTTTTTTTTCTTCTTCCTCTTCGTCTTCTTCTTCTCCTTCCTGAGCCCAGGCTTTAGGATAGGCTCCCGAGCCCCTAGGACCTATGTATCCTTAAGGGTTGACCAGCTTTTCCCTCTTTGGCCTGAGTGGAGGCTCTGCTGTGCGGGAGTCTCCCTCTCTGAGGCTGGGTCTGTCCGTGCACGCGCTTCCCTGGTAAAAGGTGGAGGGTGAAGCGAGGCCCCCAGTAAGGGTGGGATTGGGATGCCAGGCTGGCGTCTGGCATACTCAGGAGTCTGGCCTGTGGTCAGAAGCCTTCCTGTTGTAATGGGCCTGGGTCAGGATTCCATTCAGCCCCTTGGTGCCATGGCTGCCAACACTTGGCCAAGAGGCCTAGGCTTCCCTGAAGAAAGACTTGATCAGGTGCTGGCCATGGCCCCGGCATGACAGATGGACGCGGTAAGATTTAAGCTGCCTTGGACAATGCCAGGCTCTGGTATGTTGGGGAGAAGGCTGCTCTGAATAGTTCTTTGCCTTTCCTAGGAGCACCTTCTGCTCCATCATTGCTCAGCTAACAGAGGAGACCCAGCCACTATTCGAGACCACACTCAAGTCCCAGGCTGTGTCCGAGAACAGCGACGTCAGGTTCACCTGCATCATCACAGGTAACGAGGCCATGTCTGGGTTCCCTCCGCAGAGCAGGGTCCCTGGGGGGCTGAGGAGCCGGGGCACCGAGGGGAATGAGCTGCATGCACACAGCTGCGTTCTTAGTTTTCTCTCCAGTTTAATCCCCCTGTGTGGGCTGGGGTCCCTCTACCTCCCACTCTGGGGCCACATTTACATCCTGCTCTTCTTCAGAACCCCTCGTCAGGCGTCCCTGCGCGTCTGATGAATCCTGGTTCCAAGAACAGGAACCATTCAGTTGGAAGGCGTCTTCGAAGACATCTGCCCAGTCATCCCTGTTTCACAAGTTGAGCTTGAGCCTTGGGAGTCTCAGGCCTAGAGACAGTGATGCACAGTGATTCCGACTGCAGGCCCCGGAGACAGACTTCCTGGCCTGGAGTGCTGGCTTGTCCCCTTTTCAGTTACGTGATGCTGAGTAGTAGGTTAAATAACCTCTCAGTGCCTCATCTGTAAAGTGAGGATGGTAGTAGCACGAACTTCATAGATTTATTGTGAAACTGAATGCATTCATAGCTACAGAGCATTTGGAATAGAACGTGGAGTACAGGAAGTACTATATAAGTGTTAGAAAATAAGCCAGTGTTATTTGCTTTTCATGGAGCTTCAGGAGAGAGTTTGAAGCAACAGGTTGGTAAAATAGGAAGCAGAGTGATGCTCCTTGGAAGGGGAGGGTAGAGGAGTGAGAGTATTGGGAAGCTGGACCCAGGCATTGCCCCTCCCCCAGACCTCCCATTGCACCAGCCTGACCCACTTCGGGTCCTGCAGGACTCACCGGTGGATGCCTCCTCGTCCCAGCTGTGCAGCTGGCAGTTCAAGGGTTCCAGGTCAAGGTTCCCTCCACAAGCCCATATGTTGTATCAAGGGCATTGGTGGCTTCCCGCAGTGACACACCCTGATTCTGGGGGACTTGTCTGCTCCAGCCAGCTAAACCACTTCCCTGGAATTGGGTTCCCCTGAGCGGTTCTCACCCTTACCCAGGACCCTCTGAGCTCCAGTCTGAGAACACTGTCTATTCCAGGAGATACACAGACGTACCTGTACCCCTTACCTTTGTACAGCATAACACAGTTTGCAACCTTCATCTGTTTCCGTTGTCACTGAATTTTTACAAAACCCCATGAAGTGCTATTATTAGTGGAATTTTACGGAGAAGGGAAGTAGGAAAGTTCCCATGAAGCTGGTGAGGAGGAGAGACAGCTTTTGCCCTGCAGCCTTGGACACTGCCTGGGTGTACCCGCATCTCCTGCCCTCCTGTGGCACTGGCGGTTTCACGGGGCTGCGTGACAACTCTGTGCTTTTGCAAGTGCTATTTTCCCTACATAGAAAGTCCTTAATCCTTCTTTTTAAAGAAAATTAAATTTTATTTTACCAAAATAAATCTAACACATGCACATCATTTAACACTTCAAATTATACTAAAAAGCATATATCAAAATAGAACACTTCACCCCTTCCTAGAACCAACTGTTTTCAGCTTTTAGCTGCTGCTTCTGGTGTGCACACATTTCTGTAGTACTGAGTAATATGTGAATGCTGCTAACTTCTTCTTCTTCTTCTTTTTTTTTTTAAATCCTCACTCGAGGATATGTCCATTGATTTTTAGGGAGAGAAAGAGACAGACAGACAGACAGACATTGATGTGAGAGAGAAACATCAATCAATTGCCTCCCATACACTCTCTGACCAGGGATCGAACCTGCAACCTAGGTATGTGTCCTGACCAGGAATCGAACCTGTGACCTTTCAATGTATGGGACAACGCTCTAACCAACTGAGCCACACTGGCCAGGGCAATACTGCTAACTTTTGAGTCTTCAAATTTAGATGGTATCTAGCCTTCTTTTCATGGTAGATGAGGAATTAGTTCTCTACCATAATTTTCTCTGCTACCTGTATTTATTTTCTCAATATAGTTATATCATAATTTTTGCTCAAATCAATATTTACCTTATTATGCCTGCACAATATTCATAACTGACATTGTAATATACTGATTGCATTTCTTCTGTTTTTCCTGAAGTTAATACTTTATAGAAAGTACTAATTAGTACTAACTAGTTTTTCATTTAACTAGTTCTTGGTATCTATTGCTGATTTTTCTTATACCCTCTGATAGCCTTTTAATACAACTTTTTGCTAGGCCATTGTCGCTGGTACTCTGTCAGTTACTTCCTTGGAGACATTCGCTTGCAGCTTTCTAGTCTTCTGTCAGGACTGGTGGCCTCTTAGGCCTGACCCATGACTCTTGTATAGAAAACAGAAAAATGTAATAACCATCCACATAAAATAAGTGCTTTATGCAGCAGGGGAACACAAGGCTGATCTCCTGAGCCATCCCTTTGCCGTTTTCCTGGGTTGATTCAGTTTCTCGGATCTCATGTCTTCCTTTTTCCTGTTTTACTGTACAGCTTTATTGAACATCATCCTACAGTAGTCTCGGCAGGTTCTGAGGGTGGTACAACAGCAAGAGGCATTGTGATGACTAGCTCTCAACCTGTCTCTCTCTGAGTCAGTCTGCTCCAATATGATTTAGTTGCTCTGGGTCCAGTGCACGGTTGACATCCTAGGATCTCCCTTTGCCATTAGCTAGTAGATTCCCTTTATGTCTCACCTGTAATGGATTTCCTGTGTTTTGTAGTCCACAGTTTTCTCTTTCTTGGTTTGCATTTTGTTTTAGTAGCTTCCTAGAAAGAGTATATGGGAGGTAGATGTTAGACAACTTGTGTCTGAAAATGTTGTTTTCTCTATTTCACTCTTGATAGTTTGGCTGGGTATAGAAGTCGAAATTGAAATTAATTTCCCTGCAGAATTTTGAAGAGATTTTTCCGTTGCCTTCTTGCTCCTAGTGTCACTATTTAGAGCAGGAGGAGAGCTTGGTTCCAAATTCTTTGCATGAGACCATTTTCCCCCCTCTCTGGTAGCTTGTAAGAATGTTCTGCTGTTTCATAATGATGTATCTTGATATGGGTCTCTTTTCATCCCGGGGCATGCTTGGGCACTTTCAGTCTGGAAACTGAATGCCTTCAGTTCTGGGAAATTTGAGATTATTTTGATGTTGGTTCTTCCCCCTGTCTTCTCCATTCTTTCTGGAGCTCCTGCCAATGTGGACATGTGCTCCCAAGGACTTACTATCTTATTTTCTGATCCTTTCTTCTCCTTTCATCTCTATGTCTTGCTGCTCTACTTTCTGGGACATTTCCTTGCTGTTATCATTCAACTTCTCTAATTTTTAATTTCTAAGGTCTCTATTTAAATCCTTTTCTATAATATCCTCTTTTTTTCACAAATATAATATCTTCTCTTTACTCTCTGAGACTAAGGATGATAGTTTTTAAAAAAAAATTTCCTTCTCCCTGTATAACTTGTGCTTTTTACAGTTGGCTTATTTTCTATTTACTTTTGGTCCATAATCTACTTCCAAGCTTTCCTCAGATATCTGGGAAATGACTGGCAGGCAATGACTGAAAAGCTGATTGGAAGTTCTAAGCGAGTCGGAGGAGCCTGAAGACTTGGGCCGTCTCCGCAGGGCAATTCGGGTGGCCGCTGTGGAGGCTGCCAGTGTTTCCGTGGCCCCTTCCTCTCGGACCAGCGCAATTCCCTAGCAAATAGTCTAGCATCTTGACTGGAGGGTGGAGGTTTTATGGAAAATACACAGATTAAAGGATTGAGTGGGTTCTCTGCATAAAGCACTTTCTTTATGTGTACGGTTATTACATTTTTCTCTTTTCTATGGAATAGTCGTGCCCTCAACGGGCTTCCCCTCAGGGCAGAGTGTTATCTCTCTGGTGACGAACCTTGCCGTTGGCTGTGGTGGGGAAGGAGCTGTCACCCAGTGGTACCACGTGGGTGAGGGGATCCAGAGATCTGGTTGTTTTTCAAGCAACCTTTTCCCTTTCCCCTCCTTCTCTTTTACCCCTGGTCCCAGAGGCCCCTAGTGCCATTTCTTAACGCCCTGTGGGATTTTCTGGTGTTTGAGGCGGGGTCCTCCGTTCCTTGCTGCTGGCGTAGGGTCAGGCTGTCTTGGGTCTGGTAGGTAGTTTCTCCTCGTCCACCTGCTTTCCACCTCTCCCACTGTCTTTGTCCCCTTACTTGTGTTTTTGTATCTTTAAGAAATAATCTCATGAGTGTAGTCTTACTGGTTTGGGAGAGAGAGTGAAAATAGATGGTCCGCGTATTTGGCCTTTTTACCTAGAAGCCCACTCCTTCCTGGCAGATTCCTGCTCAGCTTGTAAGGCGCGGCTCCAAGGGCACACCCTCCGGGGGCTTGTCTTCAGTGGCTGCGTGGCGGGCTCTGGTTCCCTCCTCCATGGCTTGGTGTGTTTATGCGTCTCTCTCTCTTTCTCTCTCTCCCCCCCCGCCCCCCCAACAAGACTGTGAGGTCTGAGAGATTCGAGTACACGCCTGGCACATCGTGCCTCTCAGGAGCTGGCACAAAGCAGGTGCTCAGTACATGTTTCCCAAGTGGCCATGCTGTGAACAAAACCAGTACCTCTTCCACTTTCCATGTTGCCTGTTCATTCCAGCTGCAGCCTCGGTGCCTTGGCAATAGCACCTGTTGTGGGGGCCTCGGGCCCCTTGAGAGGTGCAGGCCTCGGGGACGGCTCTCTCTCTTCTCCCCTTTTGCCCTCTGACCTTCGTAGCCATGGACTCTGAGAGGAACGCGGAGAACCTGATGTGTGTCTGATGTACGGGATCTTGGGGTATTTTACTGAATACTCCAATGTCATCACGGGAGTAAGCATTTCCATTTCAAGCCCCATCCCAAAGGAACAACCTTTTCTCCCCCCAGGTGCCATGACACCCGTGTCTCGTGATGACCAGCCAAGGCCAGGGCTTCTGCACGGGAGCCCCCCCCATGCTGAGACCTACAGCACTGTCCCCGAGCTGTCCGATCTCCAGGGCTCCAGTGACCTCTAACCTCAGCATCCTTGTCCATTGCTGTGCCCAACTCTGTCTTTCCCCTCCTCACCTCCACACATAG